TCATCATCCTTTTTATCTCCTATACTGGTTTCCACATTCATTTATTGCTTTTATTATTCGATGATATATGCACAGCTTTTATTTATGTACTCGCTTTCGGTGATATTTACATTTTAAATTGATATAGGTGGATTCCATATCTGCAGTTTTTGTTACAGTTTGATGTTATTTTGTTATAAAATGATGTTTCGAGACGCAATTGGTTTTTGGTTAATTTTTGCATTCATGAATTTGAAAATTTCTAAGGTGTTTTAATTTATAAATGAAGTTTGGAATGTTCTGGGAATCTGAACCTTTTTATTACCGAATTAATTACTATTTTATAATTCTATTATACTGTAATATGCCTTTTACTATTTTACCATTTCATTGTAAATAAACCATTTCGACGTAAGCTATTTTGTTATTCAATTTACTACCATTTGATCGTTCCATTTTTTAAAAATTTCTCTTAATGGTACAAATTAATACAAAATGTATCCACTGGTTTTTTCATTTTTACCAATTATAGCGTTTGGTTCCATTAGCTCAATATCAAGCCAATTTGTTTATAATGACACAAGGAACAAAATTACTCTTTGTTGCGCAAATTAATACAAAACAAGTACTAAATATTCCGCTACGTGTATGATACTCCCGGTTTGGTCCTACCAAAGAGATATGTTCTCTCTAGATACGAACATAATGAAATTTTAATTAGGAACTTTCTCTAGTAAATGTAATAAAATCGTAATAAATCGTTTGGAAAGGGTTGAAATGTTACGTTTAAACAAGTCCATAACATGAACGCTGCTACTCGAAACTTTGTAGCGCTCTTCTCTTTTTGAATAAAACAAACTTTCTGATACATATACCGCAGTTTTGTTCTAAAAATTACGGTTACACACTTTTAATTGCAATTAAATGTAGTTCCCTTATTACGGAAGTATAATATTTAGAATAGAACTTTTCAAATCGTAATTTGCATCAAACTCTGGGACACCTTTCTTTCATGTATTTATGAGGCGGAAAATTATTAGGTGAAACAAGTTTGATATGGTTGATTCGGAGACATTTGTTATATTGCCACTGGAGAAGTTGCAGTGTGAAATTTGGAAATTTGGGGGTTTGGGATTTTGAAAGGTTAGAAATAGGAGGAGATTTTTAGGGTTGAGAAGGTGGATATCTTGAGAGTTGGAAAATTGAGAACGTGGATGTTTGGAAATTTGGAATTCAGGAAATTGGAATTTAGGAAATTTAGAATTCGGGAAATTTGGAACTCGGGAAATTTGAAATTCGGGAAATTGGAATTTAGAAAATTTGGAACTCGGGAGATTTGGAATTCGGGAAATTGGAATTCGGGAAATTGGAATTTAGGAAATTTAGAATTCGGGAAATTTGGAATTTGGGAAATTTGGAATTCGGGAAATTTGGAATTCGGGAAATTTGGAACTCGGGAAATTTGGAATTCGGGAAATTGGAATTTAGAAAATTTGGAACTCGGGAAATTTGGAATTCGGGAAATTTGGAATTTGGGAAATTTGGAATTCGGGAAATTTAGAATTCGGGAAATTTGGAATTTGAAAAATTCAGAAATCTGAAAAATTCAGAATTCCAATATTTATTAATTCCCAAAACTTAAAAATTAGAATATTACATTTGCAAACCTCGAAATATGAATCCAGAATGTATAAACTTCACCTTTCCAAGACTTCAAAATAAAAATCCATAAAAGTCACAAAAACTGAACCTTAAAAAGCAGCGAAACAATTCAAAAATTCAAAAAAATCGAAAAATCTGTTACAATATTAAAAACGACGTTGTAACCGTATAAATTGCTTGTTATAATTTCACGGTCGATGAACTGACCTCGTTACTCGTATCTCAAAAAAGCACTGTGAAAATTAGAATACGTAATAACGTTATTACATGATTGCCGCTACATTGTCGACGCAGAAAGTTCGTTTAAGGGAATTGTGTTTCTTGATAATTAAAGAAACTGAAGACGGGAAGTTAAAAGCACAGCGTCTTCCTTTACACGAAGAAACTTCCAAGTTCTTTAAATTAAATCGGGAATTTTGAATAGCCAAGGAATTGGAAGTCAGCGACCAAGTCCCATTACCAGGTTCAATCTTGAAGCTCTGATTTCTTTAAGTGTCTTCTCCAATATTACTCGAGTTTCTTCTGCGTATTTATTCGAATCCCTTAAGAAAATCGAGTCGTTCAATTTATCGAAATGTTTTTCAAACACGAATGTTTTGCATATACTTTTACGGTACTTTTTTTAATTATAACTGTATAATTTATTTGGTACACGAATGTAATCTTTTGAAAACTTTTGCTGTTGATTTTTGTAATAAAGGTTCATCGAATTTATTCTTATTAAATATATGTTTGCAATTAAAATTTATTCTTGTTTATATGTATTAGTTTCTACTGTTGTCAGAGACTTTCAACCTGATGTATCTACGTACATATGTACATTGATATATGTATAAGACACATGGGTACATACGTAAAATACATAGGTGAAATACATACATAATACATACGTAACACACACGTAATACATGTGTAATACATAGGTAATATAATAAGTAATATGCATAGGTAACACATGAGCAACATGCATGTTACTTATTATATTACCTATGCACTATACATGTATTATAACACTGTACATATATGCATATGTACATATGTACATTGATATATGTATAAGATACATAGATACATACGTAAAATACATAGGTGAAATACATACATAATACATACGTAACACACACGTAATACATGTGTAAGACATAGGTGATATAATAACTAATATGTATAGGTAACACATGAGCAACATGCATGTTACTTATTATATCACCTATGTGCTATACATGTATTACTATCAATATACATATATGCATATGTACATATGTACATTCATATATGTATAAGATACATAGGTACATACGTAAAATACAAAGGTGAAGTACATACATAACGCATACGTGACACACACGTAATAAATGTGTGATATCATAAGTAATATGCATAGGTAACGCATGAGCAACATGCATATGTAATAAAAGTTAGTATGTGGGTCAAAGATTACTGTGTGAAGAGTTAAGAAATTATTTGTCACGTTCAGAACGTACAATGTCGGTAGATATGAACGGACCCTTGGTAATCTTCTCGTGGTTAATAGCGTATTATGGGGCTATTGAGCGTAGATCGAGGGTAGTTGAACTGACTATGGACAATCTATTATACGTGACCAGTGAAAAGAGTCATAGGCTTTGCTGGTCAACGACACGACACGCAAACACACGCCCATGGAAATGGAAACGCAAGGTTTATCTCGCGTGAGCACCGCCATTCTTTTCGAAACCAAGGAGTCCAGGAAGTACGTGAATGGAAACATCGATGTGAATTTGCTCGGATATGGTATCAATTATCTTTCCGGCATCGATGACGTATGTGCGATGTCTGCTCGAAAACTTAACAGGCTTTTCAGTTGATTACTCTGACAATTTTTTAATTTGGACTTTTGGTGTTTGGAAATTGGAAAGTATAGGATATTAGGATATATAGACGTAGGATATTAGGACACAGGACATTAGGTGACAAGACACTAGGTGACAGGACATTAGGTGACAGGACACTAGGTGACAGAACATTAGGTGACAGGACACTAGGTGACAGGACATTAGGTAACAGGACACTAGGTGACAGGACATTAAGTGACAGGACACTAGGTGACAGGACATTAGGACACAGAACACCAGGAAAATATCTATAAACTCAAGAATAAAAATATTTAAATATTTAAGAATTTATTACCCCACAAATGATAAAATCAACAATCTTATAAAACAATCAACCTTGTATCTAAAGCTTAAGGATCTAAAAAGCCCGAGATCTACTCGAAGTACAAAATCAGAGATATAATCAGCCGCTGCATCTTCTGATTAGCCCCAGGATCTAATTCTCTTTATAACTTGTTTCTAGGCCTGTAGCTTAATACCTTTTATTGTATCGACCAATGCCTGCTCGAAGGTTCGATCGATTGAACAGTCGAAAGGCCGTTCAGACGGTTTAGGAATTAGGGAAACCGGAAAGAACACGATTATAGGTCGTTACGAGGGTATTCACGAGTCTCGATGGAAATAGACATTTTTACGAGATTGCTAGGGAGAAACAGAAACGATATTTGTTCTTGGAAATGGGGAATTACACTCCGATGGATTCCAGGATTTTCTCGAGATTGTTTCATATCTAACCTTTGATTACTTTTTTATTTAACATCGTAATTTGTTTGATTTCGTTCATCAAACTTTAATCCACCTTTCAAGCATTCTTGAGAATTGAAAATAATTTATTATATTTATTTAACTGTTGCAAGAATATTTTTTATTCTGATGACACGATAAACGATTCATAAAAATAATTGAACATTTTACAAATTGTTAAGAGAATTTCAAAGAGAGTTTCAATATGTAGAAAGATAAAAATTTGAAAAATTATGAAGTACAAAATACTAAGTTCCTCAAAATTATCTTCGTATAAAGGACACATAATATTTTACACAGTAGTTTTATTATCCTTCTAACATGTGTTACTGAAGATTTCAAATAAGCCACAAGACAAAGAAAATTATAATTTAAACAATAATTCATAAAATTTTTATAAGAATCTTATAAAAATCTTACAATAAATAACGAAATATAATGGAGCGAAAATTACTCCAAACAAAATATAATAGAATATAAATTACCGTAAATAATTTTTCAGTTTAAAAGCAGTATGGTTACTATAAAATCTTGATAAAGTACTTCGTGTATAAGAACGACGAAACTATACCAATCGCAGTATTCGTGGGTGGAATGATGAGGTCTTGCCCCGTATTCAGAACCCTCCCCGTATTGGGCAACATTCTTCTAGGAATATTGCGACAGATCGTTGATAGCGAGAAATCTTGGCAACGTATAATTTCACGCGAGCTGAATTTCACTGTGTTTTCTGCATTGCAGGCGGTGTCGGAGAGGCTCGAGTTGGCACCCGCTGGAGGAAGATCTGAGCCCCAGGTGAGTGCCACTTGAAACTGCACGCTTCCTTTTCCTTACGAATATCATCGAGACTGCACACTCCGATTTCTTTTTTTACATAACCATTCGCTGCTACCTATCTACGTTTCAATGTCACTTCCGGTCAATACCGTCGGCTTCATTCGTAGACCTCTTATTGCACGATACGGTACATTTCATGCAGACTGTAAATTTAGAATAGCTCGACATAACTGATTTATGCTGAAGCTTATTAATCATTACTAACTACCAATAATTGATTAAATTAATAAACTATTAACCACCAGAAATTGATTCAACTGATTGACTATTAAAGCAAGAAAAAATCAGTCTATTAAGTAATTTGCATAATACGTCCACAAATGTGGAAGTGATCTAAATACAAGATAGGATCTGCGTATAAGCTAATTAAATTATAGTCATGTTAGGGGTTTTACCCTAATGGGAATAGTGTGAAACTATGATTCAGAAACGGTGTTGATGGAAGCAGATTGTTATTGTAGCGTGTTAAGAATGTAATTTTGCTTCATCACTTTAAAACGTTTTACTGCTGTATTTGATTTTTGTTAACAATAAGTTGAAGTAAGAGGTAATTTATTAAAACCAGTTTTTAATATATTTTAGTACATGATATATTGAACTAGTATATTCACTGAAATAACAGAAATTGTTAAAGTAAAAATAACTTCCTTTTTTACGTTACATCTAGATACACAATGCTTGTACACCTGTAGAAGACATTTGCGACCTCCGTAAATTAATCAGCATTATTCTGTCAGAATTCTGAATACAGTTTTCAATATTTCAGCTTGCAAATACGCATTCGTATTCTCCTTCTATGAATAGCTCGTAGACTCCACTTGTAAAGTTAAAAATTTTTATTTTTAAAGTACTAGTATCTTTTGAAGTACGTGTAGCAAGAAGTTGAAGTCACGTCTTAAAAATATTTAACAGGTTTGAAGAGAAAGTGGTAGCCCATATTTTGGACCACTTCCTCCGCTCATACATTCTTGTGAAATAAATTGTACTGAGTCAAGTAGTGCAAGTAACCGAAGACGATTCTTTATGTAAATGTGTGTGAAGGTGGCCACATTATGCGAAGCTGGAGAGGTGTATCTGGCACAGCACATGGGCGAACAGGGTCGTTGGGTTTCCTCGACCGACAAGAAAAGCTGCATGACGGATAAACTGGAGATCCTCGAATATTGCAAAAAGGTAAGACTGATCTATTTTAAACTTCACATAAATCTTATTTCTCTTTCGTTATGGTATAAATATTGTCGCTGAAGATTTTCATATCTATCTTAGGAACATTTATAGGTCAAAGATTTAATAGTTTGAGTTTTCAGACTGTCGTATTTCAAGAATTGAACGCATACATTTTTCAGTAAAATATACATGTATGTTTCGCTTGATTGTGGTAACTTGTTTGAATAGTTCATATATTCGCGGGCGAGCGTTCGCGAGTCTTCGGTCATCCTCGTACGTGCACGTACAGTGCATACGAATGCACATTACAATAGGACAATAGTTCATGAAAAAAGTAATTACATGAATTGCTAGTAGTATTAATTAGAATAGTTAAGCAGATATTAACTATTATTATCAGTAATGACAACTTGAAAAAAGATACATGAACGTCTAAAAATTTGAGTAGTAAATATCCAAGTAAATATCAAAGTTCTCTTACATTTGAGAAAAACTGTTCCACATAAAAATTAGCACAATGCACAAATCAATACGTAATTTCTTTCACCGATTTTACAATTCAGCACGCATTTCGTAAATAATTATATTCTTTCGCAAAATGGGCCATCACTATTATCCCAATACCGCTGAACAGTTACTGGTTTACCATTGTTTCAAGAAATATCGGCATCGAAAATTGATACCGAGTACCCCTGAAATCTCGATATCGTTCGATATCGAATACTCCGATGCATTATCTGAATATCATCAATATGTATCGATATCTGCTCAATTAGACTTGGTAACTCTAGTAACAATATCTCTGCATTGATGAACGAGGGAGAATCGTGTTCATTTCCGGAAATAGATGAAATAATGTGTTTCAGTGTCTGTCTAACAATTGTATCGTTGATGTATGCACTCGTTATCGAGCGAAAAGCACGATAATTTCGTAAATCGAAATTAATGCCGAAGCCGCATTCGAGACTCGCGTGCAAACCGAGAGCTATAATCTTCGACGCTCTCTCGTCGACAATAAAATGTTCCCGTTATTGAATCCGTTGTGCACGTTAAACGGATGATCGAAAGTTCGTTCACGATGTAATTACAACGGTCTCGCGATAATCTGTATTTGTGCGTGTTTTCAGGCATACCCGAAGAGAGACATCACTAACATCGTTGAGTCCTCGCACTACGTGAGGGTTAGTGGATGGTGCAAACCAGGAAGGACCAAATGTAAATTGTCACGTTGGGTCAAACCTTACAGATGCCTCGGTATGTACATACTTCAGAGTTCGAAAGTATTCAATAGTAATTATTTATTCAACTTCACAATCCAAAATTGGACTTTACAATAACTAAAATTAATAACCCATTAATAATCCATTCATTCATTCACTCAAAATATCATTCTAGGCTATGCCTTTCTCAAAGACTATGCATAGCTGATTTGTCCAATATTGCAAGATCTTTCATTTCTAATTTTACTAATCTTTTATTATAATCTCTCTTCTTTCTTTTCATTCACAACCGTCCCAATTTTTTACTGATATCCACTGACTGTTCCTCCTAAAATTCCTATCTTTTACACTTGTTATCTTGTAATAATATATAAATTTAATCTAGAAGAATAAACAGCAAATAGAACGTCACAGAAACAGAACAAATTGAATTTCTACTTCAATCTCTCCTTGAAGAACACCATAAAGTGGACAAACATCACAAGAAATAGGAACGAATAGAAATTCCATTTCAATTAAAATTTGACCCAAATAACAACGAATAACAAACAGTCCAAGAAACAAATTGAATTTCTATTTTAACGAAAAGTCTGTTATAAATGAATGAAATTGGAAGGAAAAAGAGTATCATCTAATTCTAGAAAGTGTAATGAAATGAAAATAAAAGTAGTAGTTTAAAAGGAGCTTTGAGTTGAAGTAGTCGTTTACGAGCAACTCTAGCGAGTAACTGAGATTTTCAGTTTCTGCCGTATTGATTCCTTCGGGTTGTCGAGTACCATGTAGCGGGAGAGACGGTATTAAGGGGTTGCTCGGGAAGACACGTAGTACACCATGATTTCTGCTTCGTACTTGACTAAATATGCATTTTAGGGCGGTGCTCGACTTTTAAAGTATTGAGGACCCTAATATCTTATTTTCTGTACTGAGAGATTTGGTTAAAACTTTATAGCATTTGGAGGATGCTATTTTGAATGACTTTATACATCAGGTTGTCAATAAATCTAAAAGCAGGACTATCGACAAAAATTGCGAGGAGAGTGTTTTTTTGTTATTAGTTAAATTTTGAGAGAAATATCCTTGCTTAATATTTGCGAAATAGATTTATATAAAAGTGGCTATTCTTAAAAGTTCACAAACTTTTTAATATTTCATATTTCTCAAATTTCCAAGTGTCTAAACTCTCAGATTACTCCTAAAATTCTCAAATTACTAAATCTTCCTAACTTCTCAAATAACCAAATTGCTAAATGCCCAAATTCTTAAATTACCAACTTTCTAAGTCTTGAAATACTCAGACTCTCAAATTAACAATTACCAATGTTCCAAATTTTTAAATCGCCAAACAAGTGACGAATTCCCTAAACTACCAACCCCCTAAATTATGGAACTCTCGAATGATCAATTCCCAAACTATCAAATCCCTAAATTATCGAACTCCCAAATGACCGATTCCCCAAATGTTCAAATCCCTAAATTATCAAACACCCAAATTACCGCTTTCCCAAATTACTGAACTCTCAAATTACCGATTCCCAGAATTGCCAAATTCTCAAATTACTAATTCCTCAAATTTCCCAAACTGTAAATGCAATCTCCAAGTTTTATATTCATTTTTTCCGTAATAATCAGCTGTCCATTCAACGCTAAAATTACGAATATTATTTCACTATGATAATACTAATTTTCTTGAAATTCGTAAAAGCTGTTGTCAGACTAATGTGAACAAACGCTATCTAATTTGAAGAAAATATTCTCTTCAGTATCTAATTTGTAGAAAGTAAACTCTTCGATGTCTAATTTGAAGAAAATCTCCAATACTTTCTTTTCACGAGAATTTCTTTTTTTCAGAGGGACCATTCCAAAGTGACGCGTTACTCGTGCCAGAAGGTTGCCTCTTCGACCACCTCCACAATCAAACTAAATGTTGGGAATCCCACAGGTAAGTAAGCAAACATCAACTAACACACTGCAACGCTAGTATTGTATCGATTTACCTATCCGTCACCACGTAACTCTATCCATCTTGGCACTCGCCTCACCTTATTGGAGTTCACAGTTCGATAATTTCCTGCTGGAGGGGGACTATTGACTATTGTTTTGGCCCAATGAGTTTCTACGTAACAGAATTAAAGTGGGATATACTTTCCTGCGATATTGTTTACGGTTCACTTGTCAACTCAAATGAATAAGGATGTCATGTCTTTTAGAAATTTCAATGTACATAATTTTCAAAATTAGAAGTCTGTACATTCAAATATATAAAATACTACCTGGAATAAAAGCTTTGAATTTAGAAATTTAGAAGCACAATTTAAAGTGTCTCGTTCTTATAATTTCCAAGTTTAAAAATCTGAAAATTTGAGGATGTATTTTGGTAATTTGAATAATCAAACATTCAAGAATTTGTCAATTGATCAAACGCGAAAAATTAGATATGTGAAACTTCGGGAGTTAACAAATTTTGAAACTTGCAGTCCTAAGGGAAGGCTCCGTTGCCCCCAAGTGTACCATAGATCTCGCATAAAATATTTAAGTGCTCGGGGAATTTCTGTTACAGATGGAACACAACCGCCGCAGACACCTGCAGAGAAAGAAACATGAACCTGAGGAGCTTCGCGATGCTACTACCCTGCGGTATCTCCTTGTTCTCCGGTGTCGAGTTCGTGTGCTGCCCGAAACACCTGAAAGGTACGTAACGTACGTACATTCTCATACCACCATATTCATTCATCGACGGTTCTGTGTGCTGAAGAAACGAGTTCTCACCATTGCGATGCGTTGCATGAACGAAACCTGAAGAAACCATTGGCCTCGAAAAATGTTCGGTGATTATGCAGAGCAGGGTACACCTCCACCATTTCAATTCTCTTTACATACGTTTATGTATATTATGCTAATGTATCAGATTGAAACATTGTATACAAGTGGATTCACATGAATTGATTCCCTTATTACATATTCTCTTTATGAAAATTTGCAAATTATATTTGTATTGATCTTTTATATATTATTATATACAATTATATGGATATATTTTTATGTAGTTCAATTGATCTCTTAAGTACATATTATCTTTATGGAAATTTGTAATAAATTTATATATTTGTATAGACTATTTATATGAGCAAGTTGTGTACTTAGCGTAAATACTTTTGTAAATTTTCAAATTGTTCTCCAAGTTAAGTTATGGTTCTCTAAGTCTTCAAATTTTCAGGTTCTCAAGTTTCCCAAATTTCTAAATGGTGTCCAGCCAAATGTCAACATTGTCGATGTCAAAAGTCCTACAGTTCCATCCATGACAATACAACAAAAGTCTCATGTAAATGCATACAGTAATTGGCGTATATCGTTTACTAAATTAAAGCTTTTATCATTGTCTTTCGTAATACACGAGATGATAAAAAATGGTGAGGTGTACCCTGATGATCGAATATTCTTGAGTGCCGCAAGTTTTCATAAATAAGTATGTATAGCATGAAAACGAATGCGGATACGAGTCGAGCATTTCAACATCGAGTTTCCAAGTGAACATTTGGTGTGTACGAGAAATATGTAGTAGGCAGTGTACGTGTTATTGTAATTCGATCGACGAGAAAAGAGGACAATATTATTACGTAGCGTGATATCCATGCCACAGATCTCCGTCTGGCCAGTCTGTTACCTTGGAACGTGTTCTTTGTCGTTCTCCGTTTGTGCTCGTTTTAATTGATTTCTTTATATATCAGGGATTGGGCATTCTCCCATTGTTAGAGTAACATAATACATTTCAACTCGGTACAATTGATTTTGTATAGGCGACATACAATGATATTTGGGTATTTGGAGCCTTTAAGTCAGTTACATAATAAAACTACATGAATGTTATGTTCCTAAAATATTTGTTATTTGTAATAATTTGTTATAATAGTCTTTTTTTATGAAGACATTTCTTTAAGTGAAAGAAGTTTTTTGTTTAGAATTTGTAGTCAAACTTTTGTAAAAGATATTAACTGTTATACCTTAAGTATGAAGTTACATTTACAAGTATAAAGATTGATGTTTCAGAATGAAATCTGAAAGAAAGTCACTTTAAACATTTTGTAAGAAGATAAGTAGACAGAAATGTCTATAACACTGAAACAAGGTCAAATCTGATAAAGATTATAGGAACTTTTCTCACTGCCTCTCCTAAACTGATTGCCACATGAAACACTCTGTATCTTAGCCACTTTCTAATTCTCATAAAACTAACAATATTTAAATCTTGATAAATGTATGTCTTAAAAAATCTTTAATCTTGTATTTATTTTCAATGAATTTGACTTAAAGTTTCAAATGAAGATTCAAGTGTTCTTGATTTATGTTTCCCGACATTGTAACTAACCGGAAGGGTCTAATAGTACAGATCGACAATAAGCAACATTGTAACAATCACAGGAAACGTATAATGACATCACTCAGGTTTATAATTACAAATGCGAGCAAAGACAGATGTCCGTCAAGTCAAGACCTACAGCTGTAGTGAGACATACCTGGCATATTTTTGCAATTGTTTTTCTTCATTCTTATGTGCGAAAATTCTATTCTGTATTTATTACTTTTGTATGAATTTAGAGTATCTAGAATTTTAACTTGGAAATTTAGAATTTTTATTATTAAAAAATATGGAAATTTGAATAATTTAAAAATATAAAAATATAGAAATTTCAAAGATTTAAATTAGAAATTTGGAAATGTAAAAATACTGAAATCTCAACTGCAGAAATTTAAAAGCTTGATAATTTGCAAATCTACAAATTTTTAATCCTAATTTTCCAGAAGCAGTCCAACCTTTATTCTCCATATGACTACCCCATTGTTGAGCTTCCCGACGTAATTTCATGAATATAAAAATTTCAAGATGTCGCAGATTAAAGAGATCGTTGCATCAAACGAAGAAATGGTAGTCGAAAGGTTACAGGGAGGGAAATACATATTTAAATATATTCACTATCTATTAATTCTACGTTCGGCCGGCAATAAAAATTCCCATTTTACTGGCTTTGAACCATTTCCAATCAACGTTATTGGAAATGCTCAAAGAAAATAACTGTACAAGATTATTCAAAAAGAATATCAATACTTTGCGTGTGTACCTTTGGAACATTTTAAACTACAATAATTATATTTCTACCCCAGAACATTTTTCATTATTCTAAAATACAAAAGGGTGGTTACAAAGAGTGTACAAGTAAAATTAAGATATTGATTGTTATGCTGAAAATTTTTATTCTTTTTCTTAAGTAATATTTTCAAATATTCATTTTCTGGAGTTCCAAGCTTTCAGGAACAGAAGTTCATAAATTTTTAATTATTTGCACTGAAAAATTTCCAAATTCTCGAAATTCTTAAATTTTCAACTTCTTGAAAAATATTTAGCTTCTTAAAAATTTGCAAATGTACAAATTCCCAAGTTTCTATGTTGTCAGACTTCCAAATCCCCAAATTCCCAAGATTCTGAAGCTCCAAACTCCCAAATTTCCAAAAGCCATCTTGAAGCTATTCACTCTTTCTACTCCACTCTAATAACTTCATAAATCAATCTTCTCCATAATCATTCCATTTTAACATAAAACACACTTACTCATCAAATCTGACCCTTCCAAATAGAACTTATCTCAATCTAGACTTGAACCTAATAGATAAACCACTATGTTACCATGGAAATCATGAAAAACCAAAGCCATCAAACAAAAAGATAAAAAGATACGTCCCAATAGGTCTTCATAATTTTGTAGTCACCCAAAGATGCGAAGCTCGGTGACTCACAGTTTTACCCTCGTAACCTCCCCACATTTTCGACCGCTAATTAGACAGTATTTCAAGTTTTCTAACCCCAGACGACACAAGAAGTTGGCCGGTGATTCATCGGTCGTTCCTATTGATTCGAAACTACGCAGGGAAACATAGTCGCATATATGTACAATGTGTATAGCGAATTGGCTGGCGTACAACCCTCCCACGATGGACAAGCATATTGGATCGAGTTTATTAGCTATAAGGTATCTCGGCATCGTACACGGAAAAGAAAAGATGCGCAGGAGCGAACAGAAACCATAGTGCCCATAGTTGTTACGTTGCGCGCAGTCGTCGACGGACGGTTATTGATTGTACGAGCGAGCAAGATAGAAACGACGTAGGATCAAAACGGCCGGAAGAAAAGAGAAGAAGAATGTCCATAAATATTAGGACACTTTCTTGATTATGCAATTTGCGAACGTGTGCACAGATTTTTACATACTTATAAATTATACTCGCTGTCGTCTTAACTCCCCGTTTTACATATTAAAGGCTCAACAATTTTTTTCGCCCTCTAAAATGTTGTAAATCATCTCAGAGTTTGAACACAAAAATTTAAATTCAAGTCGTAAATTTTTATGTCGTACTAACTTTTTCGAGGGCGAACAAAATTTTGAGCTCTAATCAACACCTTATATGGCCATAACGAAAATATTACGATATCAAGATTGTAATTTTAAATATGAAAAAGCAGGGAGATACTGAAAGAACCTGCGATGATTAAATTGCGCAATGCACATAAAGAAAGAAGTGAATTTGTTTAATATTGAAAAGGTTAACGAGGTCCTTGTTGATGTCCTCGTTTTTCTTAAAGAAGCACCGTGCTGCGGAATATTTGCGTATCTAATCAAAACTACTGAAATTCTTCGCAGAGGAAACACGATTGCGAACTAGTTGTTTGTATATTTTGTTTATACCGTTATTTTTAAATGAGCCGAGAATCGAGGCACAGGGTTTTTAGCGCGGCAATTTTCATGGATGACCGACCAAAGCGTTTTCCCTCTGTTTGCGTGTGCTCGTGTGTGTGCTTGTGAAAACACGCGAAAAAGCCGAGCCTGATGATTGGTTTCGGCCTTTTCGGGGTTGTCGATCAAATCCTGATATTTCTCTCGACCTCTGTACACATGAGATAACGTGGGCATTCAAATTTCTAAATTTATAAATGTTTCGAATCCTCGCTCTTCAAATTTCAGATATTTCTAAATTTATTGGTCAAATTTTCAAATTTTTTAGTCTTCAAGTTTTATCATTTTTGGGTCTGTGCATTTTCAAGTTTTTAGGGCTTCAAATTTTCACATTTCCACACCTTCAGGTTTTCAAATTTGTAAATTACCAAATTTCTAATTTTTCAAATTTATCAAACTTCTAAGATTGCAAATTCGTGAATTTTCAAATTTCTAAATCTTCAATTCCCTAGATCCCAGAATTTCCTAGATCCCAGAATCCCTAGATCCCAGAATTCTCTAGATCCCAGCATCCCTAGATCCCTAGATCCCTAGATCCCGAAATCCCTAGATCCCAAAATCCTTAGTTTCCAAAATTCCTAGATCCCAAAATCCCTAAATTCCCAAATCTCTAAATTCCCAACTCTCTAAATTCCCAAATCCCTAAATCCCCAAATCCCTAAATCCCCAAATCCCTAAATCCCTAAATCCTCAAGTCCCCAAATCCTCAAACCACAAATCCCTAAATTCCCAAATCCCCAAATCCCTAAATTCCCAAATCCCTAAATCCCTAAATCCCTAAATTCCTAAATCCTCAAGTCCCCAAATTCTCAAACTACAAACCTCTAAAAATTTCTGAAAAGCCTTAAACCGTAAAATTCACCGTTCACATATGAACAGAGAAATGATTTAAGCTCAATGTTCCATGTAACCATTGTCCCTAGGGAAGTTATGCCCGCGTTTTATCGTAGCAAAAAGAGATCCAGACTTTTCGATACGTGACAACGGACGTACACGATACATATTCCGTAAAAAATTGCCATCACAACCACCGCGTGACCCAGATAAAAGGATAGCGGTGAGGATACACCAGGCAAAGCTTTTGTCTGCCTTTGCAGAACTCGAGAAGTCAGCTCATCAGCGTGTCTATTCTCGGAGAATGGAACATCTCGAGAACCTAGTTAGCCAAGACGGCTTGTCCTCTTCAACATAACAGAGACAAATTAGAGTTTTCCAGGGTGGGGAACGAAACGACGAGCCTATGCTTTGCGGATTTTCAGATGCTTCTTTGGTATACTTGGTTTGTTTAAGGAGCTGTGATATTTTTGAAAAATACAGACATTTTTTACTTCGTCGTTTTTGAGGTTTACTGGTCTGGAAATTTGATAGTTGAGAAATTTAGGAAGATCGAATTTGGAAATTTGCAAAATTAAAAATTTATCAAATTTAGGAACTTGGTAATTTCGGTCTTTGACTACCTTTTTACAGATTTAGAATTTTTCGATTACGAGTTTGAAAATTTGATGACTTAGAAATTTAATAATTTAGTGAATAAAAAATTTGAACAGAAAATTTACTAAATTCTAAAATATAGAAATTTGGAGTTTCATTATCATTTCATTAACATGAGTAGCGTGATGGAGTGAACCAAAACATAATTTCATAAATATCCATTCCTTTTCTAACATGTATCAGACTATAAAAGCGAACAGAACCATAAAGTCATTAAGCCTGAAAGGCAGAACTAAAATAATAAAAAAAGTAATGTTTCTGAACAATTTACAGAAAATATGAAAGCCAAGAAGCCGATCGATTTGCCGATTCCGAAAGGTGTGGACGAGGACCTAGACGAGGACGAAGATGACCTTGATGACGAGGATGACATGGGTGCCGACGCGGATGACGAAGATGATTCCGATGCTGATTCTGAGGACGTGCTTAACGACCAACCTGACGATGATGAAAGCGATGAGGAATATCTCGACGATTACGACACCACGACAAGGTAAATCCTCCGTAATCCTTGTGTGGGCAATCCTGCTACTCACTGAAGCTTTAAAGCACCTTTCGTTCCTAATCGGAGGAAAAAGACCTTTCAGACATTTTTTGTGAGAAAGCTATTTTAGAACGATTATTCGTATTCTGTACGTTCATTTTTATTTTATAATAAAATACACTTATTGTTTATAAATTTATTGATGAAAGAGATTATCTAGTCAACATTGGTTACATATTTATTTTCAAACAAATACATAAGGAATAACAAATAAGTTAAAATATAATATCCTCAAGTTCTGTAAAATAAGATTCCTAACATATAGAAATGGGTACCTGATTACGTACACAAAGTATTCTAATAATTTTATTATTCATGAAGCTAATCACATTTTGTTCTGTTTCAGTCGGTTACCTACAACAATCTCAACAATAGAGAAACCAAAACAAGATGCGACTGCGATGCCGTTGCCAGTCAGCACCAGCACACAGCAGTCTTCTCAGTCACAAAGCACACCTGATCCATATCTGACACATTTTGATCCCCGTTCAGAACACCAGAGCTACAAGCAAGCACAAATGAGGCTTGAAGAGGTGCACAAGGAGAAAGTGACAAAAGTAAGCGGGTGGTGTTGCTTATCTTGCCCTTTCTGATTCTGTTGAATCTATTTGTATCGGTGCGGAAATTGTTTACAATAAATGTAGCGTTTGCAAGGAACATTGAAGAAGCGTAAAGAAATTTCTCAAAGGGCAATTATAATCACGCGGGACACTAGTGTCGAAATCTTTGTGCTACAACGTTTTCAGGTGATGAAGGATTGGAGTGATCTCGAGGAGAAATATCAGGACATCCGTGCGCATGATCCGATCGCTGCTGATGCGTTCAAACGATGGATGACCACACGGTTCCAGGAGACTGTTGCTGCCCTGGAAGAAAGTGGAGCCGCCGAGAAGCATCAACTTAGCGCTATGCATCAGCAAAGAGTGCAAGTGAGTAATGGTGCTGTGAAGAGAAAAGATAAAAAGAGAAATTGAGAACTTCGTGTAACTGTATAAATCTTACAGGAAGCGGTGAAACAAAGGAACGACGAAGCAATGTCCTGCTACACTGCTGCTTTGAACGAGACACCACCAAACGTAGGTTTATCAAACACTCGCAACTTGCTGATTAATTTTTGAACGTTTATTATAAAGTTGTTTTTGTGTTCAGATGCATCGCATCCAGAAGTGTCTGCAGAAACTTCTTCGAGCTCTGCACAAAGATAGACATCATACCATTGCCCACTACAAACATCTGTTAGATAGCAGCTTGGAACAAGCCCAACGAGAAAAACCTGCCACGTTAGAACACTTGGCGGAAATCGATAGAATCACCAATCAAAGTCTGTTGATGCTAGAACGGTAACGTGTCAGTTTAGTGCAACGTCACTATCAATGTATCAACGTCCTAGATCTTGAGATTGCAGAAAAGGAATGTATTTTGGCTTATAGAATACTATATGGAGGATTTCGTTCGTTATATTTAGGTATCCTGATTTAAGCGCGAAAATTGGCCGCCTTATGGATGATTACGTTTTGGCCCTCAGGAGCAAAGATGAGACTCCTGGACTGCTGCTAGCGATGACACGAGAAGCGGAAGCAGCCATCTTAGATAAATATCAGGCTGACGTTACCAGCAAACAGCAAGGTAACTTTGAGAATTAATACTAATTCAAAAAAGATAACGAATCTTCACAAAGCATATTGAAAGAAATTTATCTGTTTCCAGAAAAAGAACATCAGAAACAACTTGAACGAGCACGCAAAGAACAACGCAAAGCTGAACGAGGAGAATTACGTACTGAACAGGCGCAGCAAGAAGAAAATGACCCAATAAACGATAACAAAGATACTCAACAGCAACCAGAACAACCCTCAGCTGTGGCTGCGATGCACAGTGAAGGACTCATTAGGGCAGCACACAGTATGACGCATGACATTTCACATTCTGAACCGGTAAGAGTACTTAACGAATATTGAAGAATAAAAGAAGCGAAATTGAGAAACGAACAAAAAACAACGTTCTATTTTTATTATAAATATAGGGTTACTCTGTGAGGAGAGAAGCTTATCACAGGGAAAGTCGATCCGTCTACTTTACACTTGCGTTTGCTGGAATTGCACTCATGGCTGCTGCTGTAGTAGGTGTTGCAGTCTTCAAAAGACGCAGTGCAAGGAGCCCTCATAGTCAGGTACGTTCAAATAATTACTGTTCTTCAAAACTTAACTTAATTCTATTAATATGATCTTAAATATTTAGCTCTTATGAGATTCCTCCTAATTTATAATTATCTTCGACGTTTATCAAAATTGTTGTTAAATAGGGTTTCATCGAGGTAGATCAAGCAGCCACACCAGAGGAACGGCATGTTGCAAACATGCAAATTAATGGATATGAAAATCCTACATACAAATACTTTGAAGTTAAAGAATAATTGAATCACCTTGGTCTACAAACATTTTATTTGAAATTGGTCTTAATTGTCCGTTCTCGCGTATGTTCTTCAAAAATCTCATAGTATTTTGTTAGTGTAAGATATCTTTCAGATCCGAGGTTCTTCCGAAGATTGAAACAAAACAAAGAAAAAATAATAATGAAAGCAGTATACAAATCTACATCTTAGTGATACATGGAATACAATCTGTCCATAGGGAGATAGGTTATTGCGAAAACAGTATCATTGTTTCGTCGTCTCTTTATATCGCTCGTGGTGTACTATGACCATATTTAACGATTTATGATATGTATAAAGCAATGTTATAATTAGATATAACATCTAGTAGATAGAAGTGATATGAGTTATTATCTGCTCGTACCATGAGAATTATCTACGAGACAATGTGAAAGGAAAACAACATGCCAATGTGCCATATGAAAAACGGGGAAAAAAATTGTCTTCGGAAGTATCTCACACACGTTGTTTTCGTTTCGTTGTCATTACATGTTATTGAGAGCAACAAAACGCAGAAAGGAACGCTCGCAATATGAAATCAATTACTTCATACATCACTCAAAGAGTATTACAATCAATCAAGAACACGGATACTTAATTGATTTCGACGGGTTGCGAACACAATGAGAAATGAAAAGTATCTCGCCGATAAAGCGTTCATGGTATGTGTGCAGTTGCGCTCTTTGCTGTATTTCTGAGTTCTGATATTTTTGGAGGTATAGTAAATGGCAATAAAGGTTACGCAGCTTAAATAATACGTGAAAAAAGTGGTAGCAGCGGTAGCAGCTTGCACAGTGGCAACATAAATGTATAATCCGATTTAAAAAAGCAAAAATGAAAAAAAGACAAAAAAAGGGCATACTACCTAGCACTATACGCGAAAGAGGTTATTAACGCTATGACACTCTTAAAAATATCAGAACGGCAATCGATGCACGTTCACCTTCGTGATGCAGCTGTTTTTTCATCTCCGTTCGATTCCCACTGCCTGATTTTTTCAGCGACCTTTCAGTACTTAACGTCTACTTAGATTATACAACTTTATACTTAAGAGATTAAAGAAAAAAAAAGAAATCATGAACGTATCTAAAGTTTAACAAAGGAGCAAGATATTTTATCATTCCATACGAGAGTCCACTATCTTATCCGAGGTGCTGTCTGGATGTATGCACGGAAAATATTCGATAGCTTTGTTCGACTTGGCCGAGTGACGTTCATCTGAAACGCGAACGAATCGAAAAGAGTCACGCCGAGGCTGTCGAATAAGAGGAACAGTTAACTGGAGTTTTTTTGAGTGGCAATTAGTACCTCCGATTTAGGTCGAATAAGTGGCGACTATTTAATGCAAGAGTTTCTCTCCTTTATTTTCTTTTTAATTTCATCATTCTTTTTCGAAAGATGGTTCATACAATAATTATCTTAGGATATTAATATATATTATAATATTATATATATTATATATAATATATATGTATTAATATATATTATATATATTATAACGATAATATATTACATGTTTAATGCTTATATATTTGTATATGGTCAAATGGTAGTAGGCTGCACTTTAGCCAGGGTCGCGTGGGAAAGCATAGCTTTCAATAAAATTTGCACGTTTTTATTAAATTATATAGTTCTTTACTTTCTTCTTATCGACTAGCGTTATATTTAGCCTTAGTGCAAGTATTGCGGTGATAACCAACGGTTTAAGATGCTTTAACTTTTTACTAATTTCTGTGGACGTTGTACACTTGGATGTAGACTTCCTTTGGTTAAGAACAATTGTGAGGGAAAGACATCCCATCATTTACCTTCAATTTTAAAAATTCAAACGTGAATTTTAGAAATTTCTAAGTTAGTAAATTAAAAAATTTCTATATGTGAAAATTTGTAATTGAATGTTTACAAATTTGAAAATCCCTCAATTTGAAGGTTTCTAAAAATTTATAAAATGTACTCTTTTCCTCGCATCGCTATTTTTCCTAAGGAAGCCGTGCTCGCCAGTGTGCTAACTTCTGCGATTTAATAATAAGATTCATTTATTTAACGATAATTTTGCGAGAAATAAATTAAGCGTATGCGCAAACACTCTATATCCTTGGATTCCTAAGCGCACGTGAAGCAGCTGCCTTCCTATTTAACGAAATACAGTTTGTCTCACGCAACTCCGGTGAAAGAACGAGCCGATAAAAGTATGTATACACAGGCACACACATTCGCGCATTGCTAAGTGTTAAAAATATTTTAGATATATTAAAATGATAGCAATTAACCGTAATGTCTATGGATACAACAAAAGCATAGCATCAATGCGTTAATAATAATGTTCGTGTGCGCATGTGTGTACGTGTGTGTGTAATATATGAACAGAATATATACATAGATATATACATGTATACCTATCAAATTAACTATACATTATGTACCTATAGCATATAGTCGTTAAAATGAGAAGGAAACCATTGACACATCGCGTGTGAAACCTGACTTGATACGAATTCACAGATATTGAAGAGTATATATACATATTGTACGTTTTCTTCGTTCAGACAAACACTGTACTTTCTTTCGAATCGTAATGTTCCAATTATGTATAACGACTTCTATCGGTTGTAAAAAAAGATAATAAAACGAAGGTGGTATGCGATCATATGTATAACGGTTGGCCTACGTTGGCGGATGTGTTGTTGCTCGTCATACGTTATATTTGTCCAAGAAATATGATGCGAACAACGCTTGTGAAGCATGCCAAATTTATTTCACATACCATCTTTCAGTATAACGTGATGGTGGAAGCGCATTGGCGTAACTAGGATTTTTCTTTAGGGAGACCAAACTATCACAATTTCACATAACATTATTGTTTTCCTGTGTTTACATATTGCATTTTATAAATATTTATTTTTTATATAAACAGTTACACAACTAAATAATTTATTTTATTTAGGATAAAGAATATACGTATTAAAATCTAATAAAATTAAAATAGTAAAAAGAATTTTGTTTTGTAATGTACATTGTTTAAGATTTCATAACGTTGAGGGAGAAGTGTTTGCCATTGTGTGATGTAAGATGAATTTCTAAACTTCTAAATTTTCAAGTTCCTTAATTTCTATATTCTCAAACTTCTAAACTTCCAAGTTCCCATATCCCCAAATTCTCAAACTTCCAATTATTCACCTAATCAAATTTCTAAATTTGAAATCAAACTTACTAAATTTCTAAATTGTTGAATTTCCAAATTTCTAAATTGTAATATAATATAATATAGTTTTTAAATGTAAGTATGCCACCTGTATCAATTGGTCATAATTGTTCTACCTAATTACGCCAATGTGAAAGTGCACAGTCGAGTTACTCGGGTGGCCAAATTCAGAATAATCTGTTCCTATACCATTTTTCGAAGATAAATAAAATTCGTCGAATAAAATGCTGGTCGAACTGCTTGAATAGCGAATGAAGAGATTAGGTTAAACGAAGACCGTGGGGAATAGAGGAGCAATTAGCTTGAATTGTCCCTTGGAAGCATATCAGTTTTGGTCTGTTCATTTGACGACGTTATCCGACTTGAAGATATTGTGAATTTGCATCGAGCCACCCTGTATAAGTTTAAGAATTGATTTTTGTAAAGAGGTAATAAATATTTACCGAGATAATTAACTTTAGCTTAAAAGAAAAAAAGACAAATGGAAAAAAGAAGCGAGAACTGAAGAAACGAGAGAAAAAAGAAGGAGCAAAAGAAAAAAATGAATATACGTCCTTTGCATAGCGGTTTGGATTAGAAGTCGACGAAATGGGAAATAATAACGGAACTAAACTTTATTTTTGCAGTTATTTCAGTCTATAATATCGATTCGTACGATTCTATCGATTTTGCGTCTTCAACTTTGATATTGCAACAATAACGAAGAGTCCGATTATATACATGTACTATAAAGTGCAATATCGATGCATACTCGTGTATACGCCTACACGTAACGCTGTTTAGTTTTCGATCTTACGTTCAACGTTTGTCGAAGCATAAGACAAAGCGATTTCACGCTCAAATCAAAGTTCTTTCCGATATCGCTACATTTTTCTGTGAATCGTACGTACCCAATGTTGATTAACGATAATTGAATCATTCGACGAAGATGCTGACTTTGTAAGAAACAATCGCTAAGTGGAATTAGTTAGTGTCGGAATTCGATATTACATACATAAAAACAATGACATTTTATAACGTCCATCGGGTTGAAGAGAACAGATAGAAATGACGGGTAAAGAAATACAATTCGGTTTAGGCAAACTCGATAGATTATTTCTTTTCTTTTTTTTTACTTTTAACTGTAGGATCGGAAACTACACGTTTGCCATAGAACGTTTCTATGACCGTTCTTCGACGAGTAGAAAAGTTACTAACCGGAGGATTAAACTAATTCCCCCGTCTCCCTCTATCTCCATCACACAAGGATTTTCTCCTCGCCACTCACAAATTTTATCGCATTATTACACTCCGTGAAAAGAACGTATTGTGTTTGTGGATATATGTAATTTTACTTATCAATAAATAAATTACAATGATTTACTTGGATATTCACTTCGTTACACCAAACTACAGCACCCTGATACTTTATTTATTGACAGTTCACTTCGAAAGTTAGTTCGTCTTTCATATTTCAGTTGACACAGAAACAAAGTTATTTTTGAATAATCATTGGCTATTCTATATTTCATCTGAACTTAATTTATTAATTACCAGGAGTAGAAATATATTATTCTGGAGACACTTTTTGTTGTAAACAAACATCTAAATATAACAGCCTTGCAATCTCGATCGATCCCCTTCTCGATTCCAGTAGATATCGTATTAAAATAATTTATTATCAGGAAGAGCACAGCAGAATTCATATACACAGCTTTTAACGTTAATGAGTTAAAACATCTGGAGATATTATATGTAATACTTTATACTTTTATGAGTCATTAACACTTGATATAAACATATGGTGAAAAAAAGTATGATTACAGCAAAAATCTGAGACGATAAAATTCTTGTGAAAATATTACCATTTCTTCGTGTCAGATATCTCTCATTAATTTATCCAACGCGTTCGTTGCTTAACGCGTAACAGTCGCAATCGCAAGATTGAAAACTGTTGTTCGTTGTTCATTTCCATCAATCTATCAGAATTGTTAAAAAGTTGTCCCGCATTATTTTAATTCGGCTAACGATTATTACCATTATTAGCAGATTAAAGATTATACATATGTCTGGTAAGTACTTCTGACGTTATCAGAAATCAAATTATTTAGCTAATAACATTCGCATGCTTCCAAATTGATATTTTATCACAATAATTGATATTATTATCAATTAAGTGTAAACGCTCGTAATTATTTGATGAACTGTGTTTATTCAGTCATTAAACTCTGAACTCTAATTAACAAGTAACTGGCTATTGATACCAAACGTTATTTTTATTCGATGTAAATGAACTTACAAACATTGGATTTAACGTTTCAATCAAAAGAGAACATATTTTAGCACAAAATATACAGTAAATATTAACGTATAATTCCACATGTGTATTTTATATTCTTCGAATTGCTCGTCATTACTTACGTAGTAATTTTTTGCAATAAAATATATGAGCATAAACATGATTTAATTTGTACGTAGCGCGTAATGTTTATGACAGTAATACAGTGATATTGATCCAAAAAACAACATGGCAACTACAATGGAGATCTAAGAAATGTCAAATCCAAAATAAAAACCGATTTGTAACATATACATATATAGTGTCTGCAAAATAATTAGTATAAACATGCATTATGTAGTATAATTTGGCAATTTCGAATAACTTGTAAGTGTTTCGTTCCTTACAGCATTGTAAATTGCTTAACCTTAAAATTCTGTTGCTTAACACTGTATAATATAAGTATTGGTATTACAGGTTTTACAGTTATTCTTTTTACTTAAATATTTGACTAAAGACTCATCGCTAAATGACTGAACAAGAGTCAGCTCAAATGTCGCTCGATGATGATTTTGATAAACCTTTTGAAAATTTAGAGCCCCTACCATGGGGTGCATTGAGGGAATTATGTCATGCCAACGAACAGTATTTTATGCCACACCAAGATGAAAATGGTGTTAGGATCAGAGCTGCGCTTTTAGCAATATTAGATCATTTAGCGCAAATGCAACCTCTGTATAAACACATTAGTAAAATTGCACCAATGTACGATTTTGATGTACAGACACCTGCTAATGGATATAGAAGTTTTTTAATTTTAATAGATAAATGTATTGCTCATTCGCGTTCAATTTGTCATCAAATATATTGTCAAAAAGATTCTATGTTTTTTCGTAAAAGTTATCATATGAGGTAAATATTTTAACTCAATTTAATAAATTTATTTAATATTTGTATATACACAAATTTATTTAATATTTCTATTTACAGGGAAATAGAAGCATGTTCGCAATTGTTAGCATCATTGTGTACTTGCTTAGAACATTTACAAACTCTTTCCTCATGGAGTGAGAAAGCAAATGATGGAAATCTGTCTCTGTTTATAGGGGATAGGCATAGTCCTCGTGAAATTTTAAGTAAAGTAGATAGTATTAATCAGTATTGTTTCTATGGCAGATGTTTAGGATTTCAGGTACTAATGAAAGTGAATATATAGAGTGTTTGAAAAATGATTTGAGAAGTTATGGATACATTACTAATGAAATTGAGAGATCTAGATTGAAGTATACATTGTTTTAAACAACTAATAAGAGTACTATCTGGTATTAAAGATCTCAAGTTCTTTTTTTTAACACTCTCTATATATATACATTTAACTAATTTTAAATAATTTTTAACTAACTATGATTTTAGTTTCATGAAAGCTTAAAACCTATTATAAAAGCCATAATGGTTTGTATGGCAACATTTAGTGAGGCATTCTACGCTAACGGTACATTATTATCACGTTGTGCTAATTCTGTTAAATACATGTTAGATCCTGAAGCAAGAGCACGTCGTATTGTTGATATTTCTCAACATGCTGATATATCATTTTGTCAAGCTTTCTGGTTTCTGAATGAAAATGGTAAAATAAATTTTATTCAACTTAAAAAATTTGTATTACTTTTTGAATATTTTATGAACTATATATTTTAGATATAACACGCCGATTGCCGACTATAACAGCACCTTTGGCAATAAATCAAATAATTTCTATTCCACCTGAGGGATTAACGATTACTGCATTGGATGGAACAACTGTGCAAATTCCAGTACCAAATAGTCATATTGGGAAGAAACCAATACACGTTAGATTGTTAAGCGCTAAACGTCGTTTAGGAATGGTAAAGAGATAAAAACTTTATGGAATGTAATTATTGTGTATAGTTAGTACAATATTTTCAATTATTGTGTCCATCTATAACTGTTTCCTGGAATTATGTAGAAATTTTTATAAAGCATCAGTTTCACTCCTGTGTAGTATATGCTTCTCTCAGGTTGGTTCAGGTGGAGTAGGAGGTGAACTACACAAAGCATCAGATGAATTGATAATTCACTGTCATGGTGGAGGTTTCGTAGCGCAAACATCACTGTCTCATGAAACATACTTACGTGGTTGGGCTATAAATCTTGATATACCAATCTTAAGTATAGACTACAGTTTGGCGCCTGAAGCTCCATTTCCTCGTGCATTTGAAGAAGTATTATATGCATATGCATGGGCTTTAAATCATGCAAACACATTGCTTGGAAGTACTGCACAAAAAATACTTCTTGCTGGTAAGACATAAACATTGTGGTTATTAACATAAAAATTGACAAACATCAATATTTGTGTAGGAGACTCTGCTGGTGCTAATTTAAATTTAGGAATTACTTTGAAATGCATACAATTAAATATTAGAAAACCCGACGGTATATTTATGGCATACACACCGGTGCTTGTTGATTTTGTGTTATCACCGTCGCGATTACTTTGTCTCACAGATCCACTATTACCTATGGGATTTCTTATACGTTGCTTAAAAGCATACACCATTTCAGACAACAAAAAAGTTACACGGTAAATTTTACACTCAGTAATAAATTTAATATATTTTAAAATGAACAGGTCTCATTTGTAAATACAATTATCATTTATTATTAATCTTTAGTTTATTATATTTTTAGAGAGAAGGAACACGATGTTGTCGAGAATACTAAATCGGATACAGAATCTTTCGCTGAAGTAAGTGAAAGCGATTTAATAGCATTAGCTCTTAGTCCAAATGGGGATGAAACAAATGATGCGCACAAGTTAGCATCTTTACCATCTGACTCTACCTTAAATTCTGTTAGTTTAACAGAAGTTGATGGTAAATAAATAAAAAAATGTATAAGATATAGATATTTTAAAAAAATGTTTAAACTAAAATAGTACTTTCTAATATCGCAGCAACAGAACATTTACGGGAGGAAGTAAAATCTCAAGAATATATTAAAAAATTTTTAGGAATGTATCGAAATTCTGGTGCAAATACACCGGCATATGTAGGAAATGGTACTGTTAACGCGGAAAATAATATTTCAACAAATGGTAGATCGTGGTCCTTTTTTGGTTGGTCTCTTAGTGGAAGGCATGGAGAATCTAGAGAACTTGATATAGAAAATCTGAAAAGTCCTTTGGAAGAATTTGAATTTTCAGTACCTAAAGATCCATTTTTAAGTCCTTATCTTGCATCAGATAGTCTTTTAGCACAACTACCACCTATTGCAATGATGGTAAATATTTTGATCTTCAATTTGTTACTCAAAACAGTTTGTAATATTCGGTATTTAAAATTTACAGACGTTGGAGCTTGATCCGTGTTTAGATGATTCTGTTATGTTTGCAAGAAAACTTCGATTTCTTGGTGTATTAGTTACGCTAGATGTATTGCCAGGCTTACCGCACGGATTTTTAAATTTATCACCGGTAACAATGTTTCTTGTCAAATAAATGTAATAGCAATTTAGTACATCATATTAAGATAATTTTAATACACAGGTTTCAAAAGAAGCGAGTGAAGGATCAGATTTATGTGTGAAGAGAATGCGGGATCTACTAGCATCATAATTACATGCATTTAGCAAATATTCATTTAACTATGCATGTTAATATATGGGAACAAAAGAAAGTTTCTTTGCTATTATTGTTTTTACAGATATTAAATTATAATTGATTGTTTATGTACAAAGACTGCAATAATTTATACTATTTAAAAAGATTTGCAATATTTAAACAGTATGTCAATATGTGAATATGATAAATGTGTTTTTTATCTGAATATTTTATATCACACATTTATATTTTATTGATAATGGATGCATCTAATGTTTAATTTAAAATCATAGTTTCAAAGCATTGTACTTAAATATTAATTGTTTGATTTGTTTTAGGACGCAAAGTCTTTTGTAGCACATGAGCATCTGCAGGTTCTATTCTCTTATAATAATATTTCTTCGTTTCTACTATTTCAAATCCAAACTTTTTATAAAAGTCGATAGCTCCTTCATTGCTTATTTGAACATGACTGTAAACAAGAGATATAATACACAAATAACCATGATTAATCATATATTTATGTAAACAATGGCTGGACATGTTAAATAAAAATAATTAAATACTTACAGGAAAATTGAATCAAAGTTTCCATCTTTGTTAACATAATTTAAAACATGCTGTACCATTACAGTACCAATTCCTAATCTTCTATAGGGATAAAGGCATCCCAACGTCATAATATATAAGCGCCTAGAATTTCCTGAAGTGTCTACCCTACAACAAACTGCACCAACCTAAAGCAAGCAATATAAATTATTGATTTAATTATATTAAGTAACTAATATTTCTTTTTCTAATAAAACATGCACAAATGCAACATACCACTATGTCATTATAATATGCAAGTTTTGCTAATTCTCCAGCTTCTAAAACGTCCTTATAAAACTTCTCATTGTATGAGACTGGAAATACGACTTGATTAAGAAGTTTCAGTTGTTTTATATTATGCGGTGTTACATCTCCTAACTCTATTTTTGATCTACAATGAAAAAGATTGTATTTTTATCACAGATCAAATATATTTATATTATTAAGTTATATTCAATATTATAACTATCTAAAAATAATATAAATGTATTTTACATATTAAAATAAGTACTTTAAATGTTAAAAAATTTATGATCTTTCACTTGAAAGTTTTTGTATTTGCACGCTTTCAAATTTACGCTCGAAATATTTAAAAATTCAAAATTATACACATGGTTTTTTCTAATCAAAAAGTAAACAAAAATGTATATTTAATGAGTGTATTGCATACAATATATTGCATATAAACTACACAATATAATAAAAGTAGACATAAATAAATTCTTTATTAACCGTTTTTATTCAAAGTATAAAAATATAACCTCAAATTTATTTCAACTTACCTAGTCATATTAAGAGATACCAAAATTTCAACGTTTCTAGGACAAATAATGATAACAAATACCGATATTAATTTTTCAGAAAATAGAACTACCAACAAATAATTTAACTGAAGATTTTTTTTAATGCCGCGCGATTTGTCCTCCTTACGCTACAATCTTATTAGCAGAACATGTTAAATATACGTTCCCTCAGGGTCGTTTCTAAAACTTAACAAGCCCTACGCATACGTATATTTTCAATATGAGAATCAATATATTAATCACACGATTCTGATGACAAATAAAAATATATTAATTTATATACAATTAACTGTACGAATTCAGTTTCTGTTTTCTGCATTTTATGCGTAAATAAAAAAAAATAAATCAATTAAAAATAATTGAGACAACATTTACAGCTTGAACTTTTTGACTTCAAGTGTAATTTGATGTCTCAAGCATATTAAAATTCTATAATACAAAATTAAACTTTTAGATTGTCGTATACTAAATAGAACTTTCTTCAATGTAACTAATTTATTCGAAATAAGTTTTGTATTTTAATTTTTACATTTCGCACATAAATTCGGAACATTGCCATCTAACGGTATAAATTACGAACTAAAAATAATGTAATAGGATAATAGGAACGTAGAGGAAGTATTCACAGGGTCGTCGTTTGAACTTCCGGGCCCTTAACATATAAAGTAAATGTACTTATTTTGCTTACTGATAAACGCCTACTGTTTCTTCAAATTATTACTATAGTTGTAACAGAAATATCGTGTAATTCTATTATTTTATTTTTACAAAAATATAGTTATTTATACCGGATAGATCTTTTTGTACTTTAATCTGTTAAATATCGTGTTTTTATCATACACATATGTACAATTTGAATATGTGGACATGAAACTTAGTTATATCAAACGTCAGATTTAAAATATTTATTTATTAGATTTCTTCTCTATTTTCATAACAATGTCAAGTAATAAAAGAGAACATGAAAGTGACAATGAAGAAGATTGGGTTGGACCATTGCCTTCAGAAGCTGCACCTCAAAAAAAACATAAAGGTTATTTTTCTTAACCTCTTTTTGATATTTACATTGCGATATTCTATAAAAGATAATAAATTTTAAATCTTTTTGTTTCAGTTTTAGAATATGAACAGGTATACATAGATAATTTACCATGTTGTGAGTGTTATGAGAAATCATACATGCACAGAGATGTAATTACTCATATTGTGGTAACAAAGTATGTTTATTTGTATCTTTAATCGTTTAAGTTTTGAAGCAAAAGCAATTTTATCATAATTTGTGGTTTGCTGTTATACAGATCAAATTTTGTGCTAACTGGTAGTTGTGATGGTCATGTTAAATTTTGGAAGAAACAAGAAGAGCTCATAGAGTTTGTTAAACATTTTCGTGCACATTTAATGACTATACAATCTATGGCAGCTAGTTGCAATGGAGTTCATGCATGTACAGTTAGTTTAGATAAAACAATGAAAATTTTTGATGTAATAAATTTTGGTAAGTATTTTCATTATATCTGTTTCAATTGTGTTTTGATAACTGAAGTTAAACATAATTAGTTAATTGATTGGAATTTTATTTCAGATATGATCAATATGATAAAGCTTAATTTTGTACCACTTTGTTGTGAATGGATATATTCTCCTGGTGATGCGATACCTGCTGTAGCAGTATCAGCACAAGAATCGAATAAAATTTTCATTTATGATGGACAAGGAACTAGTACACCATTACATGTGTTTGAAAAACTACACACTAAACCTGTTGTTGCTATGAAAGTATGAAAACTTGATAGTATTATTGAAGTCTAATTATGACCTTTTTTTATATAAATTTGTTCTTATATAAATCTTAATTGTTGACAGTACAATCCTGTATATGAAACATGTATTTCTGTGGACAAAGCAGGCATTTTAGAATATTGGACAGGACCAAAAATGGAATATAAATTTCCTAAATGTGTAACATTTGATTCCAAACTGGATACTGATTTGTTTGAATTTGCAAAAAATAAGACATATCCATGTGGTTTAGCAGTGTCACCAAATGGCAAAAAATTTGCTTCTCTTAGTGGAGACCGGAAAGTTAGAGTTTTTAATTTTCGTACTGGTAAACTATACAGGATATTTGATGAAACATTACAAAGATTTTCTGAGTTACAACAAATGACACAACAATTGCCAAATATGGAGTTTGGACGACGGTAAAGTTATTTAAATATATACGATTTCATGTAATGAAATATATATATTTGTTTTTTACTAAAACATATTAATTTCTATTATGACTTATAGAATGGCGGTAGAACGAGAGCTAGACAAGACAGAAACAAATTTAGGAAATATAGTTTTTGATGAGTCTGGTTACATGATTTTGTATAGTACAATGTTAGGTGTAAAACTTGTAAATTTGTATACTAATCGTTGTATAAGAATTATGGGAAAACCTGAAAATATTCGTCCTATGCAACTAGCTTTATTTCAGGTACTTACATAACTGCTTATTTATTTTTATGTCTTTAATTTCATTTCGTATTTATTATGATTTAAATCCTTGCAGGGAAAGACTAGAAAAACTACTGCTGCTGTAACTGTAGAAATGGAAGCTTCAGAGAATCCAACATTAGAAATGAACCGTCCAGACCCAACTTTATTTTGTACGGCATATAAAAAGAACAGGTTTTATATGTTTACCAGAAGAGAACCAGAAGATACTAAAAGTCAAGAATGCGATAGAGATGTTTTTAATGAAAGACCATCGAAAGAAGACATTATTTCGTCTACCGAAACTACGAATGTACAAAAGATTTATGACACTGCAATTATTCATACAGCTTTCGGTGATATTCACCTCAATCTTTTTGGGAAAGATGTTCCAAAGACAGTGGAAAATTTTTGCGTGCACGCAAAAAATGGTTATTTCAATGGACATATATTTCATAGAGTAATTAAGGGATTTATGATTCAAACTGGCGATCCTACCGGGACTGGTACCGGTGGAGAGAGTATATGGGGAGGCGAATTCGAGGATGAATTTAGGCCACACTTAAAACATGACAGACCATACACTTTAAGCATGGCCAATGCTGGACCAAATACAAATGGCAGTCAATTTTTCATTACTTTAACACCAACTGTAAGTTAAATGTTATATTTTTATTTTCATTATATATAGAGAGTAGTAATTAATTGCTGTTTAACATTGAATTCTTTTTAGCCTTGGTTGGATAATAAACATACAGTATTTGGCAGAGTAGTGAAGGGAATGGAAGTTGTACAAAATATTAGTCAAGTAAAAACAAATCCGAAAACGGATAAACCTTATGATGATATTCGAATAGTTAGTGTTACTGTGAAATAGTACTCTAAAATAAATGATTAAAACAATCAACCACTGTACATTTTTCTGTGACATATTTTACATACATTGTTTATTAAAATATTATTTTGAATCTTCTTGAATTTGATATAAAAGTCCTCGTACAAAGTTATATGCTCCTGTCATGCTTGTAAATGCGTTTACACTGAATAGATTGTAGTTCTTTGGAGTAATTACCAGTGAATATCTAGCAGATAAATAGGTACTTAATGGCATAAATTATTTTTATATAAATGTTTGTAATTACTGATGAAGGTACCTGGACCATATAGCACCTGTCACCATAAGACTTGCAGTCTGATATAAGGAAATTGTATCAGGAGGTCGTTGAACATCTCCTATTCCTGCAATTACTAAACACCACTTAAAAGTTGGTGCCCAAAAAAATACTGTGGTAGGTCCTGTGTTAATAAAAGTATTATCAATATTAAATGAACTTTCACTAAGACTGGCTTTGTAAAATTCTTCTTTCACCTGTGGGGTGTAAGAAATAAGGGCGTAATTTTGCTGGTAAAACATCAGCTATGTGTAGCATTATTTTTTGATAAGTACTCTTCTTGGGTATTTGATTCATTATGTAAAAACAGATAATTTCTAAATATTTACCAAATATTAATCACTCCTTTGTAACATCAAGTTTAACTAAAGAAAATAAGATAGTAGGACATTAATAGAAAAATTCAATTTAAAATATTAATATTTAATTTATTGAAATAAAATTCAATAAATTATTATTTTATGACAGTATGGTACATATATGATTTAATTCAAAGATAGAAAAGATTATGATAAAAAATTAAATTATATAAAGCTATTGTAACCTGATTAATGTTTTATTTTATACATCTATCCTTTACAGCGACAATTTTATTCAAAACTTTTGAAACATTATATTTTTTATACGCCTCTTCATTCTCTTGCTGAAATCAAATTTCACGCGTATGTCGAGAGAATCGAATTAAATTTCGATATTTTGAATCGTATCAATGTATCGAAATTCCGCCGAATATATCCAAAGTTTTTCATCCCCTCTCGATCTCGAAAATTCAAGATCCCCAATTCTTATTGATCGCAATAGGTTCGCTTATGTTTTATATCAACTGAAATAGGGTATGTAGAGGAATAGGAAACTTATGATTAGAAATTTATAGACAAACTTATATCATTTATATAATTTATTACACAAACATTTATTTATTATCAGAACTAATTTTCATTCTAATTGTTTATTACTCATATTCGTATCAAATAAAAAGCGGCTAAGTATGCATATCCGGTGTTAATTGCAAGGGCGCTTGCGTGTTACTATTGGTTACGAACTAGTAACCAATAATCTCGTTCTCTCCAGTAAATAGACAATATATACAGCTGTTTTCAATTTATATTTATGAAAGTAATATTATTTCGCAGATATTACAAGTTTTTTGATGTGTAAAAACATTTATTTTTGTATTCAAACACGTATTTCTATAAAATCAGAATTCTTATACCGTTCTTGCCGCCATTGGTAACACTGCTATTTTTGCTATTTGAAACTTGAAGCAGTGTGTTGTGTAGGAAAGGCAACGGACTATTTTAATCAAGCCGCTAAATTTGTGTATACACACATTTTGAATAAAATGTCAGCTTTCAAGCAACAATATAAGGCGAAAAGGTTTGGTTTTGGAGACACGAAGAAGACTCGACTTCTCCGGAGTGAAATAAACGTAGAATCACGTAAAAAGCAAAGAGCTAAAATTTTCAATGAAAACAGAAATATTCCAGCTCTTACTGATAGTCCAAAGAATAGTATGTACACAAGGTTTTTTATATAGACATAATATATCACTTGTTACATTTACAAAATGTCACTGTTATAATTTATTTTCAGAAGTGCAATCATCCTCTGTAAACACAGATCGTCTCACTAGATTAAGGAAATGGAAACTGGAACGCGATCGACGAAAAAAAGTGGAAACAGTTAAAAAAAGACCACCTTTTATTGTTGGAGTTGTTCGTCATAAAATTTATTCTCCAATGAGTGATAATCAAATCATTAAAGCAAACATAACTCGTAAAAAACAGTTTGGTCAAACTACACCAGTAACATCTGTAACTCCACTAAAAAGGGTAACAAGAGCAACACAAAAAAGGTTATTGACTAAAACACTTGCAAAAGAAACAACAAAGCGTTTAAATAAAGAAAGAAAATCTATAACTAAAGGACAAAAATTAAAAAAAAGACAGGAGCAATCTTTTGCACCTATAGATTATAAGTTTAAAGCTCCAGCAGGGTTGCCCCATATACCATTATTTGGTAGAGTAGTTTTAGAAAGTATGTCGCCTGCCACAATCAGTGGATTCTTAGCATCATCTTCAAAGATGTCAAGAACAGGTAGAAAAAGTATTGGTAATCAATTAAAGATAGAAAACAATAGTGTACATAATACTACTGTTACAAAAACACCTTCTTCAGTGAAGAAGAATTTGTCTATATCACAGTCAAAGGATGCTCCAAATGAATCAGCCTCCTCTTCATCACATGTAATTTCTACTAGTAGGAAAAGTAATACTAGAAAGGGACAGCAGCTAAAACATGAACTGAATCTTAGTCAGGTACAAAACGATGATTTTTCCAAAAAGGATATTTCAGTTAAAGACAAAGAATTGACTGCCCAGCATTTCCAGCTTCTTTTAAATAAAGAAATAGATAGATTAAGTCAGCTATGTAAAAAATGGTCAGATATTAAAAATGATGCTACAACAACTGAAGATGGGCAATATGAAATTAATCAAGCTATTGGACAAACAAATTTGTTAATGAACAAAAAGTTTCAAAGATTTAGCAAACTGATTACTGATTGTGAATCAGGGAAGGGTGAAATGTTGGTCACGTGTAAAGATTTGCAAGGATTTTGGGATATGATGTATATGGAAATAAATAATTGCGACACGAGATTTGAAAAGTTAGAGAAACTTCGTTCGCGAAATTGGGTGGAAGAACAGTCCCCTCTCCCTAAGAACATGCCTCTCAATAAAAAGAGAACTACAACAAGGAAAAAAACTGTGCCTACAAAACCAAGTTCAATTAGAGCATTTCTGGCTGAACGAAAAAAGTACATTACGCGGCAAGAAAGGAATAGCTACAACACAAGACAATCTGTAAGCAAAAATGATTCGACTGTAAAAGCTAAAGCAAGAAGATCTTCTATGTTTCTGGAATCTAAATTACGTACACCTGTTAGTCAAAAAAAAACGAGAGCAAGTCTATTACAAAAAGCACTTTCATCTGCAAAATCAAAAAGCATCCGAAGTCCGTTAACTATCATGAAAGTAAGCAAAATGTGTAAAACACCAGATGTTCAATTAGATAATACAATATCACACAGGTCTTATAAAAAATCAGATAAAAGTATATTGAGACAATTAAAAAATTCATTCGATATAAAACCTTCTGAATCATCAGCGAGCAAAATTAATTTTAAGCCAGATGAAGTAAAAATAAATGCAGGAAAGAAATTGAACTTTACTGAGAATAATTTTGAAGAGTGTAAAGATGACAAAAAGCAAAATTTTGTAGATAAAAGGGTCAAAGTATCACCCCTAAAAACGCAAGCTGGTATTTCATTAAATCATTCAGGTTCAAATAATAGTTTAAAAAGCCGGAATATTGTGGATGAAAATAACAAACAATCTGATAAAAATATGGTATTGTATGTCAGTTTGACACAGCTCGAGAAAAGTGTAGAGCATACAGGCATAAGTAGCCTAAAACAAAAATGGCAGAAACGTAGTTCTGTAGATGAGAAAGAAAGTGCAAGTAAAGATACTGAAAACATAAAAATTTTAAGGAATAGAATTATTACTTCGGCAGATACACCAAAGCTTGACAGATCTTCCAGGAAATTATCCATTAATGTTCAAGAAACAAAACGTAAAGAAAATAAAAGTCCTAAGAAAACAAGAAGATCTGCTAAAGTTGAAGATACAGAAGAAAAGAATTTATGGGAATCTGTAAATAAAATGTCTTTAAACGAAAGTACTGATAAACGAAAATCTCGTCGAAGCGTAAAATTTTCTGGTATTAGCAATTTCTTATAAGTTAACAACGTTGTTTATTAGCATATTCTTCAACATATGTTTTATTACAGAAAGGAATTATACTGGCGGTATTTTAAGTAAACCGACACTTCCGATGACTCCTTACATTAGGCGAAGTAAAGGGAAATCTCTTGACAAAAAGAAAAGTTTAACAACTGAGGATCTTATATCCTGGGAGACTCCACAGCAACGTAATTATTTTCATTCAGTTTTTTATTCATATTTCATATTTACTCTACGAATACTATATATATATATTATTTTATTTCAGCGCCAAAACGTGTCAGAAAATCACGAAGTAAAAAAATAGAATCACTAATTTAAATTTTTAATTATTGACTATAATGTGTGTATGTAGTAGGTAAAAAAAAATTGTAAATACTAATGAATTTGTGTGCATGTCTTTGTACTCTGATTCATTAGTATAGAAATAAGAATATGTATTGTTTTCATTCCAAATGGTTTTGGAAGTGAAAATACTCTCCTTTATAAAATGGTGAATTTTTATGTCACCGTGAAAATTTACAAACCCGTACAAGACTTCGGTAAAAAATCTAGTTCAGAGTTAAGAGGTGACTTCGATAATCTACAATTCAACGATGGAGAATGACAAGTACGTAAATTTAATAAAACAAAGCTTAAGTTGATAATAATCTTTTATTTTTTCGTATATTTCGTTATCACACAGTCTTCAAAAGGCACTTCTATCCACAGCCAAAAATCATGGCATTTATCTAATTTTAATTACTTCTGTTCTAGTTCGAATTATTTGAATACTAGACAGTATTGAGCAATAAAAATGTACTATTAATTATAATTCGATAACAAGGAATTATATATGTACATATGAATTACAATGTTTTATAATACGTTTATGTATACAGAGCGTTCCATCAACTTTATCTATCTGGAATATCAATGTTGTTTTAAATAATAAATGAAAAAGTTACTTTGAAATATTTTGGAAAATTTTGTAATCTTTAAAAATATTACTGAAACTATATTATGTATTTCTTTATACTGTTCAACTTTGATACGTAACATTTTCATTTATTATTTAAAATAACAACGACATTTTAGATAAATCAGTTGGTGGAACATCCTATATAAGCATGAATTGTACTTCAATATATTTTTTTTAATATTCCAAAATCATCGTCTGATTTCACTATTTTTCAACAATTTTAATAAACTTCTTTGTGAACATATAAAATGATTGAATTTTATATTTTACAAATATTCTATAAAATTCACTAAATTTATCATAGACAACTTATGCAACTTTCTAATTTAACATATTTTACTATTTAAAGTAGTAATGAAAGAATATTTCTAATCATGTAAAACGATAACAAATTTAAAGTTAATCTTCTGTTTGTCGTTACAAAAATAAGCACCACAGAAATTTAAATGTTAACAATGATTCAAAACTTTTCAGTATCTGCTTTATATAACACAGTAGATATTAATTATATAACTATCAAAATAATCGACTTCTCATTCAATTTAACTAAATCTTAATCCTATGAAAAATTAATAAAAAAACCTGTAATGAAATTCGATTAGTTTTGTTGTGAAATTAGTCACACTGCCCAACACGTATTTTAATTTGCGTTAGTTAATAAATTCTTGTAAATTTGAAGAAAAAAATAAGAGTTAAACGTTCTTACAGAAAATGGCCGTAGATCCTTCCAAATGAAATGATAAAATTTTTACAATGTTTTTAAATATTTAAACACCGAAATGTTTAAACAATTTTTAAAGCGAACTAGACACATTGTCTAGTTCATTCATTTATTTTGAAAGTTAAAAGTATTCGTAATTACTGTATGAAAATCTGCAAGAATGGCTTACTTATTGCAGAATGTAAAAAGAAGTTAAAATCTGTTGCAAGGTACAATCTATTCAATGAAAAGTAATAAAAAAGAAAATAATCAAGCTGCGAGTTGCCGACGTCTGGTCAATTCATGATCTATTAAAACTGAGATATCAGGGTGACGATGAAGAATCGTTGTACAATAATTAACCGTTTGACTCGGATCTGCGCCTGCTTTTAACAACAGTCTTACCGCATTAACAAAACCACTTTCCGCGGCTACCTGAAGTGCAGTCAACCCTTCTGCGTTCAGTTTCTCTAATTGTGCAAGTGGTGACGTAACTAATAAAGAAACGGTTTGATGGAAACCTCTCGCAGAAGCTAGATGTAACGGTGTATTACCACCGGCATCTTGTATACTAGGATCTTCCCCGTGCTCCAGCAATTTCGCAACGACGTCGGCATAATTTTTTCTAGAGGCAATGTGCAACGGAGTTTCACCATAACGTGACATTATACCAGTCGGTGTATGAGGTATTAGTAAAAACGCAGTGTTTAAAGCACCGCACTCAAGGCACTCGTGCAAAGGAGTTTCTCCTCGATCGTTCTTCAACGAGGGATCGGCGCCAGCAGCCAACAAAGTTTCAATTAAGGATTCAATTTCTGTTCTGTGGTTGTTATCTGTAAGAAAATGGATACATTTCATTAGGATATAAATTAAAAAATTTCCAAGATATACTTGATAATGTATAATTTGAGACATATTATTAAAGTGTCCTTAAATGGTCAATATTATTGTATAATATTCAGTATTAACATGACTCTAGGAACATTCTTAGTGAAACTAGGGAATCTGGTCCATTAAATTGCGTATATACCGAAGATAGTAGAAGACGCTAAAATATGAAGCGCGCTACGTCCTTGATGATCCTTCGCGTTTACAGGACCTGCGTGTGCTAATAAATCAAGAGTTTTCAATGCTGCTTCAAAGTTATGGTGTAAATTCTTGATTCCTTGAGCATGAGCTAATTGTCGAGTTAATACGTGTAAAGCGGTCAGACCACCGCCAGCTTCTTTAACGCCCGATGGACAGCCATATTTTAGAAGTTCTCCCACGAATTGTAATACATTTCCTGGTCCTCCGTTCAAGATCACTCTGTGAAGTGCTGTTTCACCTCGAGGGGAACGTACAGCTGGATCACATCCGTTTGCAAGTAGTAAGCTACAAATAAAAAATTTTATATTATTAATTTTTATTCTTTACTTTTATTCGAATTTTTTATTGATAAAAAATTATATTGGAACTATTTCTTTCATTTTATTGAATCAAAATAACAGAGTATCTAAATTTTACTAGTTATTTTATAAAATAAAAAAAAAATAAGTATCTTTTTTGACTCCTTCCATAATGATTATTTTCTATGCTTTATTTAATTAAGAAAGGAATGTTACAGTGATTTTGGAGAAAGTTTCTAATATTTTATATGCGCCACCCTGTAGATTATAAAATGAAGATTTTATATTATTCTTGCGAAAGAAATACATGTGTAATGTACGCATAATTAAAGTTTCCCGGTAAAATTTTTTTAGTACATTCGTAAAATAAGATTTTAAAACTTCGAGAACAGCGCAACTCTTTCAAACATCTGGTAACAGTATGGTATAGTATAACGTGTAAGCAAAAACGTTTTCACGAATATTCAGCAACTTCCACGGTAAAATTCTTGAGAATGATTCACTACGGGTAACACTACGCGAAATGATTTCGATGTTTGGATATTTTTTACGACGTCAGCAGATTCCCCGCTAGAATTTAAGGGACAGAATTAGAATCAAGTAAAATCGATAAAATTAGATTGTTCGACTTATTCTGCAAAATATTTGAATTTTTATTAAATAAATAAATCGTGTATGTACATAGAAATAATAATTTTTTAATAATTTTAATATGTACATAGTAATAATTTTTATGACTTCAAATAAAAAATTGTAAATCTGATTTTATATATTAAAATATATTTTAATTATTATATAAAATATATTTTGTACGCTTTTTATATTATTTTACATTATTAAATATTTTTTATATCATAATGGATATCGTTCTAATACAAGACCACTCAAATTTATTTTCAAAAACTACTCTTTCGCTTATCACTCTATTCGCTTATTTTTCCAAAGTTTTGAAAAACCAAAAATTTACAAAAATTCTAAAGAGACAAAGTCCCATTTTCAAAAACAATTTTCCTGCTACTATATAGTATATGATAAATAACAAAGAGATTTAATAAATAAACATCTTTTACTATTTAAAAATTTTGTGTATCTTAATATTATACCGCAGCCCACCAGTGGATCCGAAACACTTCGAGAATTTTTGCTATTTCGTTAAAATAAATGTAAATATATTAAATAAGAAAGCATGAAGTTTCCTAGTAAGAATATATGATATAACGCTAAAATTTCTTACCTAAGGACAGGCAAACAATGATTTGTAGCGGCCACTAGCAGGGGTGGATCACCTGAAACATTCCAATCCGGTTCGTCCAGGTTTTGTACGGAGTCACTTGCAAGAAGCGCGGCGATGCACTTGGCGTTCCCTGCACGTACAGCTTCGTGAAAATTCAGTTCACTTTCCAAATCATACGTTTCCTCAAGATCATTTTGAAAACCTACATCCTCCAATGACCCACCACGACTCTCAAGATTATCGGAAAAATTGCTCGTTTCCGTGAGAATGCTTTCCACAGAATTTTCTAGTTCTTGTAATTTGAAACTATCGTTTCCACGTGTTCTCGACATTGCATCTGGAGAGTCACACTCGACGAGGAAAGCTTCAACTTTCGTCGATACGGTGAAATTAGAAATCGACTTTGATGCACTCGAGTCACAATCTTTCGACACTTCGTTTTCGATTTCGTTCGTGTTTGCAATCGCATCTTGATTATCGGTATCTTCGCTCTTTTCGAAAAGTTCACAATTCTCGAAAGATTTCTTGTCTTCCACGGTATCCTGATCTTTCGGTTCGACAGACTCCGATGCATCGACCGTCACGCAAAGCGAAGATCTTCCCTGATTAGTAGAAATTTCTTGATCCTGGCCACCTGTTGCAATCTTTATCATTTCTGCAGAAGTAATTTCGACGTTTTCTTCGGGCGTCGCTTGCTCTCTCTTGCCGTTCAGTGTTTTATTAATTACAGTGCCAGTTTCTACGTTTTGTTCCTGGGTAGAATCGTTCGTGTAAGCAGCAGTCATCGTGACGATTGTCGCTCGCCTTTTAATTGAACCTGATTCCCCGAGTAATTGGCTTGACGCTTTTTAACAGAAGGATAGCTTCACACCGTGATCTACTTTACTAAAATCATTGCTATTTTCTTTTTGTTTCTCGTTATTTCTGCCGTTCTCATTGCTTTCTCGACGTACTACGATTTTCAGGCATACAATCGAGATATCAATGAATACAAATGATGAATGTTGTATAAATATTAAGTGTAAGAACGACTCATAAAACAGACCGTTGAATCACAAATACGTGACTGAAAACCAAATGAGTGCTTACGAAGCGTTGCTACGGATCTCTATGCTTCCCCTCTCCTTCTTTTCAAGTTCCCCACCCTTACTCCTTACCCCACTTCTTCAAACCCTCCAGCGGTGCATCCAAGGAATTTTCCGCGGATCGGATACCCTAGAAAGGGAATTTAATATTTATTTGCATTTTAAATAATACATATCTTTATTTTCACGGATTTTCGAAGGCAGTCTTATAATTGTAACATACCTCTACATTCCACTATTTTATAAATTGTATTCTTCTAAAGAAAATTATTCTCTCGTTGTCGCTTTAACATAAGCTTGATTTTTTAAACATGCAGAATGTACTACTTAGCATTTCAATTTTTTTTTTCAAATTACTCTTTACAACAAGTATTACAATGCCTTGTAGATACAATAAAGTCTCCCCTATTTAAATATAATTCTTCTAGAAGAATGATAATCATATTCTTAATATTCGTGATGAAAAATCAAACGAATTACTTTCACACCAACAGGAATAAATCAAACGAAACATCGAAACCAACATCACATTTAACTCATGTTTTATAATTCTTTATTCGATAAAAAAAAAAATGAAAAATTATATTATGTTGAGCTCTTTAATAGTTGTAAAGAAATATTTTTCGTTAAAGCAGTCTTACGCATACATCAATGTACTTATATAGTGGTAAATAAAAAAAATAATAATAATACGTGCTGGTTCGAGAAGAAAGATATGGCTTCTTTAACGTATTTCATGTATAATAATGCTTATAAAAATATTCTAAGTAACTTACAATGCTTCTCAATTTGTCACGAAAGATCGTATGAACAAGAAATTACATACATCACTAGGTATTCTTTTCTTTTTTTCGCCGATCCCTTGACTGTATCTCTTTACCCCACTTCTTAATCCTCCTTACCTCTCTACGATCCGACGTAACATATAGGTGTTGGTTCTTAGGAATTCAAGCATTCCTTGCGTATGTAACATACCCTTATACACATACACCGCATAATTCGTTTAGTTATTGAAGTGATGTACATACATATATTACATTTGAAAGTTACGAATTCTTGAATATATGTACAATTATCAAGATAAAAAATACTGTTAGATTCGATAATTGGAATGTTATAATTGTTTTTATACTGAACACAATATTTTTTATAGAAAATTCTAACTTTGAAAAGAAATACATCTTTCCTACATAGAAAAAAAAAATAAAAATTAATTTCCAGCATAAAATGTTTAAACCTTGTGTCCTTACATTTTATACAATTTTAATAGTTTTACATATTATTTTAACAAAAGAATGGTTCTTGAAGTAAAAGTCAGGTACTTCTAGTATAGGAAGTACCAGTCCATCAAGAGCACATGTACAATATATTAAAGGAATAATTTCAACCACTATTATTGTAAACATTTCTTGCAAGATTCGCGAAAATAAACATTAAAGTAAATGCTTTATAAATACTTTGTAAATGCTTAAGGTGTGTATTAATGCTTTAATTTTTGAGTAATTATTAACAATAATATGAATACATTAAGTGACATACTTTAAATGCATATACGTTTCAAAGGATTAAATGGAATTACGTTTAAAACATTATAATCGAGAAACAAATGGTTAGCAACGTAAAAACCTTTTTTTTTAAAGAATACACACCGTCTTATTTGCTGCGAGATCTAGAAACAGATTTAGATCTACTTCTGCGCGGACTATTATCTTTGGAATCAGATTTCCGTTTATTACGACGTTTTTCTTTGACATAGCCGCTTCTACTATGAGAACGGCTACGGGACGAAGATCTTGAATGCTTACTTCTTGATCTTGACCGAGAACGTGAACGAGACCGTGATCTTGATTGTGATTTTGACCGTGAATAAGACCTGGAGTAAGATCTAAAATAAATAGTGTATTAAAATGATGATTGTATTATAACGATCTGTAATATTAAATTTTTTTACGTTATTTTAAGTATTGATTCGTTTATGTTAATTACATTATATGAAATTTCTTATTTCGTATTTTTGTCATAAACGTAGCATAAAATATATTCTGTATGATTTAGTAAATTATTGGGCTTGCAAAAATTGTGACAAGTACTCAGGAAAAATGTAAATATATAATTTATTTCATGTTCACATAAAAATAGTAAACGTGAAAATGGATGTATATAATCTTTTTGTTTTTATTAACTTGTTATACTAATTTTCAGGCTTCAATTGCTTAAATGTCAATATTTTGTACACTTTTTACAATTTATATACAATATAAAAAATCAATTACGTTTATTCTTTTCTAATATCATTTGAATATTTTGTCTTTGTACTCTTTAGGCATATTTTTAAAGCAATCAGTTACAGAATATATAACAATAATACCAGGAAAGAGGAACAGATGAGCAGTTATGCAGATGAAGGAACACTAATGTCAGATGTTATGGACGAAGAGTGGCTAGATGAGATGGCTCAAAGTTAGTTTCTCAGTGACCACTAGATCTATCATAATATTTAGGTAGAAACAGTGACACTAAAAAAAGAAAAAAACACCAGAAATACCATTAGTACTGATGTTCAAAAACTTTCAGTTCAAGATGATGTTAATAGTCATTAGAATTGTAGTTCGCAGAACTAGCCACTCCATCGGCCAAGTTTCCCCCTGTTGCTCGCAGAATTCAGAAAGTAACCCATGGTATATGGGGTTCTATGCTGTAACTATGCAGTGTCACAAAGAGAACCCAAGGTGAATCTCACGAGAATCTCAGTAGCAACACATTTCTCGTGTGTATGCCTGTGCAGCTGCATCTCCTATAAAAATGGGCAGTATTACATCAGTATCAATATCGATACTGTAACTTGTACTATCTGTTATTATAAAATACTATTACATATTACAAACATTTTATTTTGTATATATAATTTCAAAGAGACAATTTCCATTAATTATTCAAAAGTGTATTATTAAACACTTGTTTAGAATATATTTAAATCTGAACTTTATAAAGAAGTTATTATTCTGAATCAATTTCATTGTACATTTAAGCATTCTTAAACAAAATTATGTATCATATATTTCTTGCTTACTTGTCTGATATTCTTTGCATGCCATAAAGATTTATGTTAAATAAATATTCTTTATACTTACCTCTTTTTACGAATATTTCTAAGACGTTGACAATTTCTAGCATAGTGACCTTTTTCGCCACATTCGTAACATCTATCTTCTGGATGAAATAATCTTCCAATACCTCTTCTGAAATATCCTCTGTCTCTCAATCTTCTACCATTGGATGGTTCTACACGGGCTCGTCTTCCACATATAATTCTTCCATCAAGTCCTCTTATTGCATCTTCTGCATCTCTAGCATCTTCAAATTCAACAAAAGCAAATCCAGGAGGATTTCTAGCTACCCACACATTTCTTAAAGATCCATAATAAGAGAAAGCATCTTCCAATTCTTCTTTTGTAGCACTACTTCCTAAATCTCCTACATAGACTTTACAATCTGATGGATATCGTGGCATCTAAAAGAAACATATTTAAGTAACACAACATGAAGAATATTAATGAATACAAATCATTTGTAATAGTTCTTTAATTCAGTTTTTGAATAATTTTGCTTTTTCTATACAATTATAAAATTTTTTACTTAACCGCATTATATGAATAATTATACAATCATAATGTATGATAAAAGATTTAGAAATACATAAAAAATAATAAGAAAATTCTAAAAATATATATAGAACATATTTTCTGTATTGTAACAAACTATTTTAATTCTTTTTAATGATACACAAAAGCGTAAACAAAATTATACCTTATTCATCGTTGTTTAATTTATTGAACATAAGCGTACAACGATATTATTTATGGAATATTTATACAATATTTCATTCTGAGAAAAAATGCGCGTCAGGTGCATAAATTTTCTCCATTTAGATATCTCGTCAAAATGTAGAAGAGATTCTTAAGTCCAGTTTCTAGCTGATTGAAAATATAAATAAAATTTTGTGTACAATATTTCAGCAAGTATATGTAATCGTATAAGACGAATACAATTGGAAAATTATTTATATGTAATGTTCTTTTTCTAATTTAAAAGCAAGTTAATATATTTAATCAAACATATACACATAAAGTATATAACATTTTAACGATTACTATTGACATGATCCTTGTCACGAAAGAATGTCTTTTCAAAGAACAAGTTTTCGTTCATTCTGCGCAGGCTACCTCTGATTGGTTCTACATGCTTCGTAACCCTAGGTAACGCGCAGGCGCTTTTATGGCATTTATAAAACCAAGTATATATACCCGGTGATTTTACATTTAGTATTACTCTCTCGTACATGAATGCATGTACCTTTTTGTCCGCCATCTATATTACCATAAAGTAGGAATCATGTAATAGACTAGTTCACCTGCTTTTAATGAACAGATTTCTGAACTTAGTCGAGATGCGCAAAAATAATTACATTTTGTGGTTGGGTCAGTAAGTTTTTACCACAGCCGTATACAGAATGAGTCTCCCGCTAGAAGACAAAAAAACAAGTGCTGCCAAAAGTACCTTTGACATAAAATAATGTTGACCTTCTATATTGTGGTCATGGATACGTTTATCAGTATTTTCTGTGTGTTTTCCAACTAGAAAATTACTGAGTAATACACGAAATATACATATTGAATAGCTCTTATCAGATAATTTGTAGAGCGTGTAGAGAACAGACCACAAGATATATTCGCTGACGTCACGAATGTTGTAAAGGCGCTTGCGTGTTGCTCATGGTTACCAAATGCGCCTTAACCAATCCGATTTAACATGCGCAGAATGTATAAAAACTCGTTGGTGATGGTTATCTCTCGTTGAACGAATGATAAAACTGAAACGCTCCGTGCTAGCTTCCGTAACAGCACGATGCAGCTTGAGTTTATGTTATTAATGAAAGTAATGCATTTTGAAATGTTTAATATTGAAATACATTAGTTATGTATGAACACAAATATAAATTATAAATAGACACTTTTAAATTGTACTTTGATAAGTATTTATATATTACATAAAAAAGGTTTATTATTCTTGCGAATGGCGGTTAAAAGAGCACATCGGTATGCACGTGCATTATTGCGAAAACCAGTGCAACAAACACAACAGAATAAAGAACAGAAACAAGGGTCTTCGAATGTAAAAGATAAAAAAGTAGGTATCATTATCCAAGAAATTAAATTTGTTCGCTTGTTATCAAGCAACGATAAAAAGGTTCGAGATAGAGTACTCAAAAATTTAAGAAAATGGTTGACAGTTCGATCGCAAAGTTCTTTTGGTAAGTTTAATTTTAATATTGATTCAAAATCAAGCATTAAATTTGTTCTGTTCGTATGCATATAATTATTTACTATGATGAATATTTTTTTTGTAGCATTTACAAAATTAAACTTTATGCGATTATGGAAAGGTTTATTCTATTGTATGTGGATGTCAGATAAACCATTAATTCAGGAAGAATTAGCAGAATCTCTTAGCAAATTGGTGCATTGTTTCAGTGCTAAAGATGTAGTATTATTATATACTACGTGTGCTTTAGAAACATTAGGCACAGAATGGTTTGGTATAGACCAGTATAGGTTAGATAAATTTTCTATGGTAAATATAAGAAAATTTTATTTTAATTAAAGTAATTTAAAAAAATGACAACTTTTGATACAAGACTATATATTCTAAATTGTTATTCTACATTGTCAATTTACTGTTACATGGACAGACATTGTCCTTTTAGCATTACTATGATTTCTACTATATCCAGTATATTGAAATCTTTTATTTTTATAGTTGGTTAGAAGAATAATTCGTCAAACTTTTCAAGTATGTAAGAATCAGTTGTGGGATATGGAATGGATAAAAAGTATTTCTGGTATCTTTGAAAATCTTTTGTCAAATTCAAAAATATGTATTGGTTTTAAAATGCATTTAATAGAGGTGTTCTTCGAAGAACTTGCAAAGGTATATCATTTAAATATAATAAGTTAATAAACATTTACTGATATTAATTCCAAAAATGTAATTTTGTAGATTAGCGAAGGAAACATATCAGAAGATGTAGTCACAGAATTCATAAAATCATTTGTTATGTACTTTGTAGTCATGGACGATGCAAGACAGATTAAACATGTCATGAAACATATTTTTAGATATTTAATTTTTCAATCAGATACTGGCATGGACTATATGGAAAAATTTCAAGCTTGGAAAGCTGTGAGTGTTAAAAAATTAAAATTGAATTTACTTTAATAACATATGAAGTACATCACAGGTAACTGATAAGTGATAAAAATATATTATTATTTTATTTATAGGCAGGATTTCCTACTGGTTCAATAGATGTTATGGATAAAATTGAAGTATCTGATGAAGAAAGAGAAGATGATGATGATATTGTAGAAAAAGAGGAGTCGTCTGAAAATCAAATTCAATCTAATACAAAAAAGCCTTTAGATCCAAGAGCTGGTAGAGTAGATGTTGAACTACCACAAATACCTTTTAATCCCAAAAAGATTGCTGAATTATTATCCCAGTATAAATTTCATCCTTCATCGACAGCAAACTCGCGTAGGCAATTGCGGCGTCTAATAAACGAGTAGGCATTATTTGTGTAAAAAATGGAAGGCTATTAATGATATAAGAAATGACACATTTTTTTTAATAATATATACTTTATAGATTTACAGAATTATCAGAAGGTAAAATGCCAGTGGGGGTAAAGGAAATAGTTCTTCCTGAAGTAAAAAAGAAAGATACAGATACAAAATTAGCTGCAAAACGTTTGATAGAATTTGAACAAGAATTATATTCTGATAAGGTTCCAAAATTTAAGAGGAAACGCAATGAACAACTCCTACAAGATGAAATAGATAAATCTGACGAAGAAGAATTAGAAAATATGAACACTGAAGATTGTACTACAGAAACAAATGGTGAAATTGTAAAAAAGAAGAGGAAGGTAGACTCTAAAATAAGTAATACTAATAATTTAACACATAAAGGTGCACAAGTATCAAATGAAGATGATCTTGATTTAAAGAATGCAAAATCTAATGGAACAGAGGTGATTAAAAAAAGTAATAATTGGAAATCAAAGAAAGAATTGCCACCTGTCGTTAAGAATACTAATAAATGTAAAAAGGTAAAATCAAAAGGAAATAAAACAACTGGTACAGGTATTTTAAATATTGTTACACCAGTTAAAAGGAAAAAATTAACAAAGTTTACAATTAGTGACAAGTGGGATGTTTCTGATAATATAGATTCATCTACACAATCGCCAATAAGTAATGATACTAAAGAATCACATACAAGAGTTGTTGAAAAATTAATTACAAATGATGTAAATGATATACGTACTGGAAAAAGTAATATATTGAACAAACAACCAATGTGGTTAGTACCTGTATTAAAAAAATTAGAACTTGAAACAAATGTAAGTTGATTTTATTTATTTTATTTATGTATGAATGTCCACATATATATCATATATATTGGTTTGTTAAAACTAATTAAATTTATTTTCTAACATTTTTTTTCCTTATAGAAAACACCAACCTTGAAGACGCAACATAAAATAAATACCAATTCAAGTTCTAAAAAACGAGTAAAAATTGCTCTTCAACGCAATACTGCTCAACATACATCTGAATATATGTTGCAAGTTCAAAAAAGTCCAGGTATACCATTTGATGCTAATAGAAAACCAAGTGCAGGAGTATTAAAAGCAAGTCCTATGTCAAGCCCCATTAATCCATTTTATAAAAGGCAGGTTATTTAAAATATCTGGTAACATAAACAGTGAATAATATAACTATTTGTGACTAAAGTAAATAAATAAAACAAATTACAAAACAAATGCTTTTTCTTATACTGTTTGATGAATTGGTGTACTTTTATCCTAATGTTATATACAAACTGAAAATTATACATTCGATGTATTTTATATTTAATTACTTAAATCAGTAAATAAATAACTTAGTAAAAGGCGACGTCTAATTTCTTGTATATTTTAAATAATAGTAGCAATAATAATAATAATAATAAATATTAAATATTTAATGTTTTTACACTTACAATTCTAAGTAAACAATTACAAATGATAATACAAGTGTACAGTATTATTTTATTTACGTATTATTTATTTACATAATTCAGTGCTAACTTCATACACATACAACAATAAAATTTTATATTTATGACTATATGAAATACAATCAGAAACATATATACATAATTTTTATATTATTTTGTTTCCGTTATTTTTGGTAAAGATAGATAATAAAGCCTAAATTTTTAATTTTGGATAACAAAAATATTTAAATGTATGTTAAAAGTAGTATAGACTAGAACAAAAATAACTAAATTAAAATATATTTCGCTGAGGAAACTTAACTGTAATTTAAGAGACTATAGTACTTAACATAATATTTACAAGTTATCAATATTTAAGTCAGACAAATAGCAATAAATTATTAAATATAATTTCGTCTATTAAAATAAATATAATGTAATGTGTCCTATTATTTATACAAGTAGTAATTTTTATGAGAAATGTTACAATATTAATATAATGAGTGTTTCATTAACTGCATTACACGTAATTAGCTTTTACATTACACAGCAAACAAAGAATATAATTTATGAACAATCTTTTTTTAATCTTACAACAGCAAAGTTTTTTCATTATTTCACTGAGTGATGCAAATAAAACTATTAATATCAAAACTATTACATCAATATCAGTTTAATAATTAAAATCTGGAAATGTTATCAGCAAACATTTCTTAAAATACATTTTCAAAATTACTATTCTTCTAATATTTCTGAATAACATTCATAAATGTAGATGAATACAATTATCTTTTTGGCACATGAATTCACTTTTACTTACATTTAGAACTTTCCTACTGCTATAGAAAAATAGAGCTTTACCTACTATTACAATGAAACATTTAAAATTTATATCCTGTGTTATACATTTCATTCAAATACATTCATTACATTTTTTATTTCGGGATTAGTCTTATTACATGAATAGTGAAATTTGTTTTTGAAATTTTGTTTCGTTCAGCAAGTAAACTAAAACTGTTATATTGTATGTTATTAAAATGCATTTGAATAATTTTTTAAGGAAGTGCATAACTATCTCATACCTCGAATTTTAAGATTTTTCAAGATTTAGAAACTTTTCACATTGGTAATTTTATTAAGACACATATATACATTTGTGCTTTGGAATATGAGATAATGAGGCACTGCATTCATTGTTAGCTAGGTTGATTTCAATTTTTTTTAAAGATGCAGAAAGAATATTTCTGACAGACATATCAAACGTTTCATAAAACTGTAGAAGTCAAAAACTAACTTTATTTGAAAACTGCTATACAGATTATTAATAGTAAGCAAAATCTCTTCCTCAAAAATTCATTGAAGTTCACTTCATCTCATAAAAGTCTAAAGAAACAGTCATTCAAGATGTTAGTATAATACATTTACAAAGTTTAAAAATTACTGTAAAAATATATTTAATGCAAAACTGATTGTTTCTTTGTATTAAATCAATATTTTTTAGTTAATCACCACATTTCTGTTCTCTCTATTGTTGACATCTAATATTTATGCACTAATTATTTTAACACATAATTTCATGCATGAACATCATGTATTTCGAAGTTACAGAAAAATGTTTTCAGAATTGAAAGATCTTAGTTTTATATATTCAATAATATTGCACATGTTAGTGATATAGAATTTGTAATATTTCTGAAAGGGATTTTTGACCCATAAAAGTTTAGGAAGCCCTCTAGTTTAGAATTTTTAGTTCATTGCATTTCTTCCATATAAAATATTAAATAAACAATAATAATATAATATATATGCTATTTTTACTTGTAATACATATTACACGAGAAAACTAAACTCAGTTACTAAATTATATTATGTATAAATACATTATTTAAAATTGTAGCTATCATTAAATGTACATACATACATACATATACATATATATATATATATATATATATATATATATATATTCCTAAAATTATATAAATTGCTGTAATTCTGAAAAAATGTTTCTGTAATTTGAAACTGCATCATATAAGTATTAATACTGAATACATATATGTATTATCCCATTATATATAAGTTAATAAAATATCTTTGGTTAAAAAATTTGTCAACTAATTTCAACCCCCTATAGTTCACAATACATGGAATGTATTAATATGTAAATTAAACTGTATTATTAAAAAAAGATATAATAAATTGATATTGTCAAGAAATATCACAAAGTAGGAAATCACAAAAATTATTTTCATAATTTTTTGTACAATACAAAACGCTTTTATAACTGATGTATTTTACTCTAACTAGAATTTCAAAATGTGTAGTGTATATATTACGTATTTAATCAGATAATCTACAGAGGGTTAAGTTTTACTATAACATTTCAATAACTTCACTATAACTTTTCCAGTTCCATTATTTCTCAGTTTGTACATTATATTAATACCTTCCTTTTTATAATTTTAAAATAGTATCATTATTATTTTACAAAATGTAAGTACTTCAGTCAATATTGAAAAACAATCTGTTTTTACATTGATCAAATTTATAGTAAATTTATCAAGATTTTATAAACAGGTATTCCTACATATATGATATAATGTATGTATATGACTCAAATTATGTTTAATATCACCGAAAATTTCTAGTAATATAGCAGTTATTGTAATATCACACAAACAAATAAATGCTATGATCTGATAAAGAAACTTACTCACATTAAATACTGCTTTTGGAAGTTTAGTAACTACATATCTTACTTAATAAATGTGTTTTCCAACGCCAATACCATCCTATTTCAAGTTGACTAAAACCAGTAGTGAAAAATGATAGCGCAACAAAGAAAGTTGAATAAATCAGTGCCCATAATTGAAATAATGGTGAAAATATAAGTAAAATTATTGCAGCACCTGAAACAAAAATAATATCATAAATCTAACATTTCTACAAAATAAATAGTACCAAGCAATTTTGGCAATTCATTAAGATAAATATATAAAAGGATATCAAAATTTTACCTGTTAAAATACTCCAGAAACCAAATGCAATTTGTAAAGGAAGCAGTCTTGTTAGTGGCCAAACTTCAGCAGAAAAAGTCTTTTCCTCATAAAATCGTTTCAAAACTTTCTCCTTATCAGACCACCTTTCTTCTAACCATTGTCTTAGTGTCAAATCTTGTGTTGGCATATCTGATGATGGTATTCGTTTAATATTAAAATGTACCTCATTTGGTAATTTACCTTTGATCAAATCTAATTCGGATTGAGGAATATAATCTGGATATGCGATCGTTAAATCATAAATAGCGTCAAGGTAGTTTGCTTGTTGAAGGTGTTGAACCAAATAACTAAATCCTGTTGTTTTTGGATGAAGCGTAAAAGAATACTGTGGTAGGTCATGCTGCAAAGCATATCTATCCGATTTTTCTTTGCTAGTTTTAGTCAAATCGGTACCTTCCGGAAATATAAGTAACTGAGACCGTCTATCTAAAGCTACTAAGTAATCCAAAGTACGTGATAGACGACTTTGATCCTCTTCCCAATGACGAGTTATATAAAGGAAACCATTCATCTGCATTATCCATCCTGTTATACAATAATTCTTTTATATGCTACATACTGTTTAATAAGTGTTTTTTATCAATAAAATAAGAATAAAAGATAGCAGTATTTGTACTTTGGCATTTAAAAATGTATTAACACTATTTCAGACTCTGTCAGCAATATAAAGTTAGTTGTTATTATCAAATATAACACTTTGGAATCACGTATGATCTTTACAACTAAAATCTGTAGTATATTTTTTATTATTGTTAATAGCAACAGTTTACCTGGGCCTGGAATGTGTCGTATAGGATCCTTTAAAACAAATTTCAATCTATGGGTTGCTATACTGGGTAAACAAGCCTGATACATTGCAGCCCATAAGAAATTCCAATCTACTCGTGTCCTGTGGTTCATAACAAGTATAGCAGATTCATTTGGAGATATATGATCTCCCGATACAAAAATTTTTACACCAAATACTTTTAAAAGAGCCTAAAACATTTTAAAAATAATGATATAATTTACATATTATAAAATTAAATATATAGAATAAATTTATTGATAAAAAAATAAGATGAAATTTATTTTACTGTACTATATTTTACTAACTGTAGAATAAAGTTCCCAACAGGAAAACAAACGATCACCACATTTTCGAAATTTTGGAGGACTAAAGAATAACAGTGGTAACATAGGACAAGCAATAAATAAAAAACCAGCTACTACACTGCCATACCATAGCGCACAGTATAAAGTTCCACGTATAAGTCCACGCATCTTAAACTGTGTCTTAAATATCTATGGGAAAATATAATAAAATACTTATTTATATATATCACATGTAAATATACTTATAAAAATTAAAAATATTCTTATTAAAATATATCTGTCATAAATTTATATCTTTATTATTGAACTATAATAAAAGAATTACAAAAATAAATTATTTTTCATTAATAGTAAACTAAAATAATTCATATACCTTTGAATTTATAAATAAATCTTTAAATCTATTTGCAAGTAATTTGCATTTAAAAGACAATATAAATAAATACAAGAATATGTTTATTAAAATTTATACAAACTAAAATATAATTGTTTTAAATAGTAGAACTTACTTGATCATGTGTATGTTCTGAATGAACCACTTTTTTCAAGTATTCAATGTTAACTAACTCTTTCTCAAATGTTTTCTCTGGCTTCCCTTCTATCTTACTAGAGGGGCTTCTCTATACTTTACCCCTTTCACCCCCATTCTCCACCCAATGCCTACAGAGTTCTGGGATGCTGTGTTGGACCATTATTGATCTGCTAAAACAAGGGAAATGTTCATAATTCTCTATAAAGCTTCAGTTTTTCCCCTATAATTTTTTCTGTAAGTTATTATGTTAAAAAAACAGAAGTAATATCTTTATAAAAAAGATATAAGCATACATGTATCACAGAAAGAAATTTATTATTTTAAAAAATTGTATTAGTTGTGGAAGATTATGTTAAAAAAAATTAAGTAATAACAAAAATTTTTAATACTAGTTTTGTATTTAAATTTTTCTAATACAGTCAGAATGGTATTAATGAAAATATTGTAAAATAGCTAACAAAAAATTTTGTATGTACTTATATAATGCAGTTTATTATTCATCATTATATTCTTTGTGTATTTTGAGCATAACAGAGCAATATTTAACTAATATTACACCAGCTGCTATGAATTATATAAATACATTGTACAAACATTAACAAAGGTCAATTTTAATTATAACTCTAACAGATTCATTACACGAAGAATATTTTTAATGGAATGTTCAGTGAAAAATATTCAAGAGTCTAAGTATTTAAATTCTCTTTTCATAGAAGTTACTGCAATTTAACTATATAAAACTGTATTATTTTATGTATTATATATACGTATTACTTAGAAAATGTGTATAGTAAATATCAACAGTAATAAATTCTACAAATCGTTTTTGAGAAAATTAAAAATTCAATAGCCTCAATATATATACGTATGTATACATATACATATATATTGTATAATGTTATTTACTAACTTATACAAATAAAGTACATTTTCCTAACCATTTACAAAATTTTGTACCACTAATATGTACTTCCTTATATAAATGTTTACAAATTACATTTTTTCACAGAACTTTAATTAAAGTAAAATGTTCGTAGTACTTGTTATAGTAGATAAAGTATTTTTCATACTTTTATAGTACTTGTGTTTCATATAATCATTTGTTACAAGCTATTTAATGTTACTGTTTAGTGTAGGCTATATTTTTTTTCTTAACTTCTCCCTCTGTGTACGTGTGTACGTGCGAGGAAGAGAGAAACAATAGCACGACTATCAATTGCGGTTGGGATATACAAATACATCTGTCGCTATGAACTATATCCAAAATATTTGTTGAAAAGTTTACTCGCTTCAGAATGTATTTTTTCATCCTCAGCCGTTAGTGATGGTTGTTCTACGATTTTTTTTAAATAATCAATTGCATACGAGTACTGCTTTAAAGCAATATAGCATTTGCTAATATATAATGGAATTTGTGGGGTTTTGTTTCCAAGCTTCTCTGCTGATTCAAAACAATCAAGTGCTTCCTTGTACGAAGCATTTAGACTTTCAGAAAATAATGTTGCTGCTACCTGTAAAAAATTAAAAAATTATTAAAAGCTTTGAAATAAACGATACATATTATTTCATATTCAAAGTTAGAAAATAAACCTTTTTTTCAATCCAACTTAAACTGGCTATTTCATATTTAAATCTTCCTAAAAGGTAATGCAATGTTGAATCATTTGGCCGCATTTCTAAGGCCATTTCTACATAATTTTTAAATCGAACACCATTTTTTATTTTTTCTGCTATTGACAAGTAATCACCATTTAATCCTATAAGTATAGCATACCATTTAAATAAATCAGGATTTTGAACTTCAATAACTCTCTCACAGTGTTTAATTCCTGCAATAATAAATCTTTATTGACTTATACAGTAAAATGGTAATTTATATTTACCTTCAAGGATCACTGTTCTTTTAATTTCTGTATCATGCACTATCTCTGCATGATCATAGCAAGCTCTTGCGAATCTCCATACTACTTCTACATTATCTCCATGGGATTTAACCAATGTCTGTAGTTTATTGTATAGACTGATATCAAACTGTTCATTCACATCTTCATCGATCTCCTTCAGAATTACATCCAACTGGTTCAGTTCGTCTGAGGTCCTGTATTACTGAACATATAATCTCTTCCTTCTACATTTTAAAATAGATTTTACTTGCCAAAACGATCAAATTCTAATTTTCCAAATTAGTATAAGTAATCATGCTTAAATCATGAATGAAACATTACAATTGGAATATTCTTAAGATGTTTCTTCAGGAAGTGGATTCACATTTTTACTAGAATAAAGTATAGTTTCTCGTACGCGTTATTTATATAACTTTAACTAATTTATGTTATGTACATATATATTATTGAACTAACCTCAGATCATTTTCACCGACAACACTTTCACTATCAGAGCAATCATAGAACTCGTCATCACCAATATCAGTATCCGCCGTGGAAAAGGCATCAATATCTGTATCATTATCCGTAACCGTATATGTGCTATCATTTGAAGTGAATTTTCTTACAACTTTTCGTTTCTTCTTCTGTTGACTTTGTTGCAACCTTAAATATGAACAAGTAATTACTAATTTTATGGAACAGTGTATACAACGCCTATGTTAACCCTTCTCAGACAATGTCAATATGGCATATAGACTCCTGAATACCTGCTACTCTTTTTTACAAGTTTTTACATTGTATATTATTACTTATTGTGTCCTTTGACATTCAACCCTACTTTTGTTGTCATAACTGAAGGGCTAATTCAAATAGTATTTGTAACTTATTTATAAATATACCTTAATGCTTCTAGTTCTTTTTGCAATTCAATAATCTTTTTATTAGCTGCATCTAAATTAGAAACCGTTGTAGTATGCTGCTGGTTTTCCAGAATTTTATGATAAATAAAAATACCTGCTGCACTTATAACACCAACGGTTACACCGATGGCAGCAGCAATTAAATTACTATTTTGTAAATGATTCATTATGCTGTAAATGTAAAATACGTTAATGAATATCAAATGATATATTCATTAAATAAGCACATACAAAATTATATTAAAATTTATAACATATGTATTTACACTAAGATTTTACAATTACTGTAAGTATGTTTATCGAAATACCGTTATTTCTTGTGTTTTTTCATATGAAGGATTCCAAATCATATGAATCTCTCGCGTTTATTATAGAGCAAAGTCATATCATTTTTATATGCAGCATAACTAATTCATAAATTCCAGAAAAACAACATGACTTTTATAATTCATGAATATACAATGTACTTTTTTCGATGAAATACATTAAACATTCATTACACAAATCACATCATGCACATACACCGGCAAGTAGAATATTATCCGGCATACGGATACAGTTTCTCTTATTAAAAGTATATTTTATTTTTATTGTTTAACCACATCTGTCAATTATATAACACTATTTTTAAAGTTCAAAGTACAGAATCACTTAAAAATAAAACCACAAAAAACATTTACTTCGAATATGCATAAATATGTAGTTGCAGTTTATATTACAGGCGCATTAGAATTCGTTCAACTGAGTGGGAAACAGTGTTGGGTAATTGTTGTGACTAAATATATGTGTAATATTAAAAAATGAAACTTACGTTGATTAAATGGAACGCAGAGATCCTTCCTCCACTTCAATGCTGTAAAGACTAGCTCGTCGGTCCGATAGCATGGCTTAAACTACTTTTAAGTAGCGCGCAGATCAGTGTTGGGTAGTCACAGTGCATGCGCAGTAAGCTATCCGTAGAAGTCCTCAGTAGCGTATACACTTTGATGAAATATAAGGTATCATTAGGCCCTAGTGAGGAAATAAAAAACAGTATTTTGGTTATTGAACGGAATATATTGTGATCAATAAGGATTAAAAATTATGAAACTCTTGCTCACTGTTTATATGCTTTTGGCCAGTGTTGGGTAGTCCCAGTGCATGCGCAGTAACCTATCCGTAAAAGTCCTCAGTAGCGTATACACTTTGATGAAATATAAGGCATCATTAAGCCCTAGTGAGAAAAAAAAAATAAATCTGAAGAAAATTGCAGGAAAGAGAATAAAAGGGTTAAATAATACAACAGATTATATATAATAAAAGTAATATTAAATTTATTTATGATTATTATTATTTTTTACGTTCGCAGCCGATTTGTTATATAAATAACAATATTTGTGACAAGAGCAAAGGAAAAAGATACCGCTCGATTTTTATCAGATCTATGCATGTTAACAAAATAAAATCCATGTATTTCTTTGTTATTGTTACTCTGATATTATAATTTTCACACGTATAAAATATAGTTATTCAAAGAGGTCCTTCCAAGTCGTTTTTCTTAAATAATAAATTCATTTAGTGTTTTCACAGTTGCATTTCCAAAATAGTAAATTCATTTAGTCTTTCAAAAGTTATTGTGTTTTCTGGTATTTTAAATTAAATAATGTCCCATATTCCATCAGTCAGGTTATTTATTATTATCAATATTATTACGGATATTACTACTTTTATTACCATTATCCTTATTATCCTTATTATTATCAATATTATTACGCATATTACGACTATTATCATCGCTGGAACTGTAATTATCCCTACTACTCATGTCATTATCAATATTATTACGCATATTACGACTACTATAATCGCTGCAACTGTAATTATCCTTACTACTCCTATTATTATCAATATTACTACCCATATTATTACATTTATCACCATTATCCTTATTATTCTTATTATTATCAATATTTGTACGCATATTACTACCTTTATCGTCATTATCCTTATTGTTCTTATTATTATCAATATTATTACCCATATTACGACTATTATCATCGCTGGAACTGTAATTATCCCTACTACTCATGTCATTATCAATATTATTACGCATATTACGACTACTATAATCGCTGCAACTGTAATTATCCTTACTACTCCTATTATTATCAATATTACTACGCATATTACTACTTTTATTATCAATATCTTGTATAGTGTATAGTGTATAGTGTATAGTGTATAGTGTATAGTGTATAGTGTATAGTGTATAGTGTATAGTGTATAGTGTATAGTGTATAGTGTATAGTGTATAGTGTATAGTGTATAGTGTATAGTGTATAGTGTATAGTGTATAGTGTATAGTGTATAGTGTATAGTGTATAGTGTATAGTGTATAGTGTATAGTGTATAGTGTATAGTGTATAGTGTATAGTGTATAGTGTATAGTGTATAGTGTATAGTGTATAGTGTATAGTGTATAGTGTATAGTGTATAGTGTATAGTGTATAGTGTATAGTGTATAGTGTATAGTGTATAGTGTATAGTGTATAGTGTATAGTGTATAGTGTATAGTGTATAGTGTATAGTGTATAGTGTATAGTGTATAGTGTATAGTGTATAGTGTATAGTGTATAGTGTATAGTGTATAGTGTATAGTGTATAGTGTATAGTGTATAGTGTATAGTGTATAGTGTATAGTGTATAGTGTATAGTGTATAGTGTATAGTGTATAGTGTATAGTGTATAGTGTATAGTGTATAGTGTATAGTGTATAGTGTATAGTGTATAGTGTATAGTGTATAGTGTATAGTGTATAGTGTATAGTGTATAGTGTATAGTGTATAGTGTATAGTGTATAGTGTATAGTGTATAGTGTATAGTGTATAGTGTATAGTGTATAGTGTATAGTGTATAGTGTATAGTGTATAGTGTATAGTGTATAGTGTATAGTGTATAGTGTATAGTGTATAGTGTATAGTGTATAGTGTATAGTGTATAGTGTATAGTGTATAGTGTATAGTGTATAGTGTATAGTGTATAGTGTATAGTGTATAGTGTATAGTGTATAGTGTATAGTGTATAGTGTATAGTGTATAGTGTATAGTGTATAGTGTATAGTGTATAGTGTATAGTGTATAGTGTATAGTGTATAGTGTATAGTGTATAGTGTATAGTGTATAGTGTATAGTGTATAGTGTATAGTGTATAGTGTATAGTGTATAGTGTATAGTGTATAGTGTATAGTGTATAGTGTATAGTGTATAGTGTATAGTGTATAGTGTATAGTGTATAGTGTATAGTGTATAGTGTATAGTGTATAGTGTATAGTGTATAGTGTATAGTGTATAGTGTATAGTGTATAGTGTATAGTGTATAGTGTATAGTGTATAGTGTATAGTGTATAGTGTATAGTGTATAGTGTATAGTGTATAGTGTATAGTGTATAGTGTATAGTGTATAGTGTATAGTGTATAGTGTATAGTGTATAGTGTATAGTGTATAGTGTATAGTGTATAGTGTATAGTGTATAGTGTATAGTGTATAGTGTATAGTGTATAGTGTATAGTGTATAGTGTATAGTGTATAGTGTATAGTGTATAGTGTATAGTGTATAGTGTATAGTGTATAGTGTATAGTGTATAGTGTATAGTGTATAGTGTATAGTGTATAGTGTATAGTGTATAGTGTATAGTGTATAGTGTATAGTGTATAGTGTATAGTGTATAGTGTATAGTGTATAGTGTATAGTGTATAGTGTATAGTGTATAGTGTATAGTGTATAGTGTATAGTGTATAGTGTATAGTGTATAGTGTATAGTGTATAGTGTATAGTGTATAGTGTATAGTGTATAGTGTATAGTGTATAGTGTATAGTGTATAGTGTATAGTGTATAGTGTATAGTGTATAGTGTATAGTGTATAGTGTATAGTGTATAGTGTATAGTGTATAGTGTATAGTGTATAGTGTATAGTGTATAGTGTATAGTGTATAGTGTATAGTGTATAGTGTATAGTGTATAGTGTATAGTGTATAGTGTATAGTGTATAGTGTATAGTGTATAGTGTATAGTGTATAGTGTATAGTGTATAGTGTATAGTGTATAGTGTATAGTGTATAGTGTATAGTGTATAGTGTATAGTGTATAGTGTATAGTGTATAGTGTATAGTGTATAGTGTATAGTGTATAGTGTATAGTGTATAGTGTATAGTGTATAGTGTATAGTGTATAGTGTATAGTGTATAGTGTATAGTGTATAGTGTATAGTGTATAGTGTATAGTGTATAGTGTATAGTGTATAGTGTATAGTGTATAGTGTATAGTGTATAGTGTATAGTGTATAGTGTATAGTGTATAGTGTATAGTGTATAGTGTATAGTGTATAGTGTATAGTGTATAGTGTATAGTGTATAGTGTATAGTGTATAGTGTATAGTGTATAGTGTATAGTGTATAGTGTATAGTGAATAGTGTATAGTGTAC